CAGCCACCACACCATGAGTTCGATCGATCGCCTGGCCAGGAAGCTGACCCACATGATGCAAAAGACCCTCCTGTCTTACCTGTTGCTCCCCTCAGCAGTGTTTTCCAGTCACTCTGCCTGTTATGCTCTCCACTCTGTCTCTGGTAAATGCTCTCAACAGTTCCCCCTCCCCAACACCTTTGGCCTACACCTCAGTCTCTTGTATGTATGCATGCATGGACAAATAAATAAATAAAAGGCCAGTTTTGCCATATAAAACTCTGAACAACCTGGCTGGTCTCTGCCTACCCTCCCTCCAGTGTTCATCTGCCTCATTTTCCCCCATGCCTCAGCAGTCTTCTTTTAACATAAACATCTTGTTTGTTCCCTCCTAACACAAGCCCTCTGAAGGGAGAGTTCCTTCCTCAATGCTCTACCTTCACTTTAACTCAGCTTTGATATTTCAGATTAATGTTTGAGCCTTTCCTGACTATGCGCTTATTATTAAACCCTATCTCCTTTCTTTACATGACTTCACTTCATTTTGTGGGATTCCTAGAGGTGTGTCTGCCTCACCATTGGACTGTAAGCTCCATGAAGACCAAGACTGGCTTTGTTCTGTTCGACCTATCTCAGCACAAGCCTAGGGAATAGGTTGGTAGATAATAAAAAGAAACAATTGTTGAATTAATGAAATTCCTAGCTTGTCAATGACAATTCTAAAGATTCCAGCTTTGGTAACAAGATAGTCATGCTTTTAACTAAATGGACAACCAAGGGAAACACATTATCGGTGGTACATTTAGGTGGAGATGTCCAGTAAATAACTAGAAACTAGAGCACGTAGCACAGAAGACAAGACATAATTGGCATGGTTGGAATTATTCTCTTGGGATCACAATGGCCATGATTCTTCTAGGAAGGGAAAAAGGTGGTCTATGTATCAGAAATCTTTTAGTTTCACATTTGTTCTCACTTTCCACGGACTGAGATTCTCAATGTGAGTTGCAACTGATAGGAGGGCTGCACCTATGAAAAGTATAGAAACAAGACTTGAAAAGATTAAGAACCACAATGATGAAAGTCAAGCTCACTGGTGACCTTTTGAAAAACAATCCCAGTGGAATTAGGTATGAAGGAGAAGCAGCTAAGAGAAAGATCAGCTAGCTTTGTTATAGGACAGCTTAAAAAGACAATCAGGCAATTAAGGAAATGAAATAAGCATTTGTATTGGGGGGGGGGGAGCAGAAAAAAGCCAGAGAGAGAAAATGTATTTTTTTAGTCTCATGGGAAGTTTAATCTAATAGAGCAAGATCCCTGAAGATGTAAAGAAAAAATCCTACACAAACTGTGCACTATGTGCTCCCTGTTTTACTGTCTTACAGTTAAGAATCTTGCCCAACTCAAACAGCTGTTCAGTGGCAGATCTGAGATTATATCCCAGTTCTCTCAAGCCAGATGACAAAAATCAAGAATAGTCACTAAGGAAAAAGTGAATTTTTTTTCCGAAAGACGCCCACTTGTTTCTGTAAAACATCTAAAACCGCTAGGGAAAGATAACTGGGGAGAGAGTAAAGAGAGTTCTTACTCGGAAAGCTTCTGTTCCTCTCCAATTACTGAATGAGATGGGGGAGAGGCCTTCCGGAAAGGGGGGAGAAAATAAAACTGGAATTGGGGGAAATGGGAAGACCTGGAAAGAATCAGCATCAATGCCAATTTGATCCGGAAACACAAACCTTGAGAGTCTGCGAATTCTACACTCATATCTAAGTCAGGGCCTAGTGAATGTCAGACTTAGTTCTAGGTACCGTGGAGATCAAAATAGGCCTAACAGTCTCGGAAACAACAAGCATCAATAATCATCTGACACTTAGGAAAAAACCATTCCTCCAGAGACGCCCATCCCAAAGCTTACATTCCAAAGAGAGACTGGTTTTAAGGGGGGAGGGGAAAGGGGAACGGTCGAAAGAGTAATTCCTCTCCCCAGCTTCAGCCTGGCTCGCTCGGGTAACTACAGGGGGACGGGGAGTCAGAGCTCAGAAGCTGCATCCGAGGACAGCAGGAACGCGATACCTGCGGGCCCCAGAGGTCAGGCACGACCCCAGCCCCGAATCCGTTGCTCCCTTCGGTGTTCCGGCTCCCCGAGCGTCACCGGCTTCTGCTAGGACACTACTGCACCATTCAGCCCCGACTTCTGCAGCCCCGCGCGATCCGGACCACCACAGCAACTTACCCGCCCAGCCTGGCCCCACAGAACCCGGGCTCCTTTCTGGACACCGATGGCTCCCTCGCATCTCCACCAATGCCAAAGCTCAATCAGGACGCAGGGGTGGGACCGAGATCCTTTGACCAATCAAATCAGACGCAAGGCACGTCCCGGCGCACACGGCTAGTTCCCGCCTTTGGGAGAAAAAAAAAATACACAACAGGCGCCAAAATCTCGTAGTCTGCCGGGTTTAGGGAACGGGGCGGGGCCTACGCCGGTAGGAATGGAGATTGGGCGAGACTTCACGACGGAAAGGGCGGGACCTTGGCGGAGGTGGGGCGGGGTTTTAGGGACGCTCTGGTGAAAGGGAAACAGAGGGCGCTGACATCTATGTAGTCCTATAGTTCATAAATTCTGTTGCGTGTCAATCGCATGTTATACATGGCGCTGGGCGTTGTCTCGATAAATACAAGTAAGCACTGTTCCCTGCCCTCAGCCAGTTTCCTGGGTGGCTTGGAAACAACTTAGCGCAGGGTTTGGGCTTAAAGCAGCGGGTGCCAAGTGGGATGGGAAGGGGGGAAGGAGAGCCATTTAGACGGTAGAGTAAGTGATTAGTTTTATAGAACCTGCAGGAGCCAGAGATTAGGTCTAGCCTGAGGAGATGAGGTCTGTGTCATTGATTGGTAAGGAAGTAAAACAAAGCCTCTTATCTAGGGAACTTGACCGTGTCACCTAGCCATTTCTTCTACTTTATCCAATTTAATTGCTTGACAACCTTCATATCAACTTACTACGTATTTTCGATTTTTTTGAAAAAAAAATTAAGAAAGTAAGTTATGGGAAAACACTGGCTTCCTACATCCTCCTCCAACCTGCTTTGCATCTGGGAAGCTATATAGGAAAGTAAGCATTGTAAGTGGTAGAAAGAAAATAGTTTCTGCAGTCACAGGTATTCCTTGTTGCTGGAACAAAAACTAGGGAGGAAGACATGGATTAGAACTTTTAGGACCATAGATAAGTCAAGTAGCTTGGAATTTTCCTTTAGATGATGAAGTATGGGGATCACTGAGGAATCTTAACTCTCAGCATGGTGGTGACATGATTTGCATGAATAAGATCCGATGACCTTCAGAAGAATGATTTTCAGATGACACTTTCAGATACTGTATCCAGAAAGAGAGGGTCCAATGAAGATGAAAGGTAGGCAAAGCAACATTTAGACGATAAAATCAACAAATCTTATCAATTGGTTGGTCTTCAGCATGGGCACTTGATGGCATTCATCAAAAAATATAGAGAACACAGCATGCATGCCTAAAAAATAATTTCCAGAAATGCATGGCCTTATTTTTAAAGTATTTACAAAAGTCTGTTTTTACCAGTACATTCACATTTAACAAATGCCTTGATTAAGTTTGTAACTAGTCACTCAGAAAAACCTCAGTCAAAGCCAACTTGGGAAATTATAGAAGCCAACCGAAGGAATTTGTTTTCTTCTAAAGGAAACAAAAAATATAACAATTACATATTTTATGAAGTCTGAACTCACAATGCAAATATTACGTTTAAAAAAACAAACATTCATGAAGATGTTTATGTATTTACTTAAAGATTTTTTTGTTTATGCATACAAAAACTAGGGTACAGGCCAGAGGTGTGGGGCATGAGAGCATTTGCCAGAGACAGGGAGCAGAACAGGCAGATAGACTGAAACACACAGCTGAGGGAAGCAGTGGGTGAGACAGGAGGGGTCTGCTGTACCATGTGGGTCACTTCCCAGGCTGGGAATTGATCTTGTGCAGCAGTGTCTGAGGATAGTCTCATACTGCTGTACTTTAACCTGTTGCCCACCAGGGAGGGCCTGAAGATGTTTATGTTTTTATATGAAGTAACCTACAAATCTACAAATGTAGTGTTAAGGGAAATAAAAGAACAATGTAGTATACATGCTATGCCAGGTTTTATATAAGAATGGGAAAAGAATTATACATATATTTGCTTGGTTTTGCGTAAGTCTTCAAGTACTGGTAAAACAAACAAACTCTCACCAGTAAAACTAAGTATATAAACATGTATCGCATCTTTGTTTCTCAAGCACTTTAATACTAGTCAACTTCTCTTCTGTTTTAACTTAAAATGGAATATGGGAGTACAAACAAAATTCAATAAATTTATTTGTATTTCACAGTAAAATATCCACTTAAAAAGGGTCAATTCTAGGAAGTTGGGAACATAGTATTTTAACCAAATATCCTTAGTCATATTGCCTTGTGGAGCTTCAGTGAGCAGCAGCATTGGGAACCTGTTGGTACAACAGGTTAAAGCACAACACTACAAGGCTATCCATAGCCACGGCAGCACGAGATCAATTCCCAGTTTGGGAGGTGATCCACATGGCGCAGCAGACCTCTCCTGTCTCACTTGCTGCTCCCCTCAGCGGTGTGTTTCAGTAGTGGAAATTAGGGGAAGATTATTCAAAGTCCATGTGGAGCAATGGTAAGGCTAAAGGGGCTACACAGGGGTGTAATGTGCAGCCCCTATCCAAAGGCAGTCTCGTATTTATTAACTTCAAGTACAAAGGTGGGGCAATTAAGTAGGGAATGTATATGCTTGGAGGTTGGCTATTGGGTTATAAACTAGGGTGGAGTGACCAGGGCCTACTGCCTGGGGGTGGGGGTGGGGGCTCCATTGTCAAAGCATACTATATTCTAATATCTACCTGCTGTTTTCTGCAGATACTGGTTTCCCAGTATGTTCCTTATACCAGGACTTTGCCCTTGGTAACAAGCCCCTTCATGACCCTACACCTAGCTGTTAAGCAGGAACTATGGTTACAAAGACAGTATTCCCAAGAACAAGGGGGCCTGGGGACCCCACATAGTTTAAAGACAAAAACTGAACAAAAATTAAAATATCTGCAAACAGATAGAAGATCTCCTACCTTCAAAAGTTTCTCAGAGTTGATAATCCACAACCACACATATATACACTCAAACTGTGAAAACCATTAATCTATTGGCTAGACAAAGGCAAAAGAGGGACATACATGCCACTAAACTCCCTTTCCTATTCTGGGATTTTTATATAAAGGATAGCCTCATAACTGCCCAGTAGAGTTATTCTTATTAGATGGTCACAAACTGACCCAATCATATTCTCTTTCTACAAGGCGTTTTTAATGTGAAATGCACAGAAAAAGTCAATCTTTTTCACTTGAAATTAAAGGGAGAAGAAAAGGCAAAGGAATGAGACCACAATTACAAGGAACTGAGTTATAAATTTGACAGTCAGTAGACTAATGAGCAATAGACTCAGATGTTTTTAAGGTGATAACAAAACTGTTGTAGTCCTTAGTGCTTCTACTGAGGCATAGTGACTGGGAGGTATTTCTCCTGTTTGCCTCAGCTTCCTGAACTCCATTTTCTTTCCCATGTATTTTTATTGCATGCACTCTTTTCTCCCCTGCAGTGCAGAAATGCTACCCCTTGAATCTTAGAAAGATCACACTGTCAAGTGTTCTTGTTGGAGTGTAAAATATTGCCGCGTTCAATAACGACCGAGGCCCATGTCTGATGCAAAAACAAACGAGACTTTATTAGGCTAGCTCTAGCCAGGATCCTTCCTTTATGTGTCCTGTCACAGCAGGCGCACCCCTCAAGGAAGGATCCCGAAGATCTACAGAGTGGGGTTTATAAGGGCAGTTAGTGGGGCTGGGAATTTTCCACTGAGTACGTCCGTTGGTGGTAGATGCCTGCAAAGTCCTGTTTATCCAGATGTTAGGGACACAGCAGACAGACAGACAGACAGACGCTGGGAACATATCTTCATCAGGCAGGACTCTAGGCTTATTTCTGGGAACCCACCCGGCCAGCACCTTCCAGGAACAATGGCTCTGGAGGGGGTGAGCTGTCTAGTGGGAACTAACATTTTACAACATTTCCAACATTCTCATATTTTTTCTTTTTGTTTGTTGCATAGAAGAGCTGGAGTGTAGGCCAGAGGTGCACAGAGTGAGAATATTCACCAGCAACAGAGTGGGGAACAGAGAACAGGTGGATTTGTTGAAATATACTAAGGGGAGCAGATGGTGAGGCAGAAGTGATCTACTGAACAATATATGGATTAGCTCCCTGGCTGAGGATTGAACTCAGGGCCACAGATAGTGGTGATAGCCCTGAGACTTAATCCCTAGGCTACCAGGGAGATTCTAATATACTGTCTTAACAGGATAAATGGAGGGGTAATATAGACCTTTTAGGCAACAGTAAATGATTTTTATGAAAGATTAATGTACCATTTTAAGAATATAGGGGAGGTATGATGGTTTGTCACAATTTATCTGGGTCTAATATGGACTTCAAATATCCTACTGTGTGATAACAGTTTATCTTTTCTGGTTGTTGAAATTCCAGGGCATGTGATTTCTAACAGAGTTCTATTTGAAGGATCTATCTTTAGGCAGATAAGGAGAGTTCAGAGGAAAACCTTTATTTGCTATTTTCCAAGCAGCTATAGCTGAAAATATGAATAATACTCTACAGTGGCAAATTTTAGAGTGCCCTATCCTGAACCCCTTCACTACTAGTATAGATATTATACTATTTGTCTGACAAGTTATATCCAGAATAGTAAGACTAAAAACAATTACGCCAAACCATACTTTCAAAACAAAAACAAAGAGACAACCCGATATTTAAATTGGACAACAAAACTTCCTTGAAGGATAGTCATGTGACCCTTATGCATTTGAAAACACACTGACATACTTGTTTGTCAGGATATGCAAACACAAATCACAGTGAGATAACTCTACAAGTCTACCAGGTTGGGTAACATTAAAAGCCTAAGAATAACAAGTGTTATCAAAAATATGGAGTAAGTAAAGCTCATACTTACCTGTTCATTGTAAATTGTTGCAACCATTTTGGAAAACTGATGTTGTTCACTATATAGAGAGCTTTATTATTTATTCTTCACAATTGCCTTCAGTTTGGGAAAGTTTATCTTTTATACAAAGAAACAGTAAATATGTGAAATGATACCACACTGCACTTTACCATTATTTTGCCGCTCTTGAAATTTATATAATTGCACTTCTAATTTAATGTATTCTTCCACATTACTTTTTTTTTTTTTTTTTTAAGATTTATCTATGCAGGCCCTCCCTGATGGTGCAGCAAGTTAAAGCACTGCACTAAGAAGCTTAAGCCACTTCCACATGAGTTCGATCCCTGCCTGCCCCGGAGGGGATCCACATAGCGAGGCAGACCTCTCCTGCCGGCCCGCTGCTCCCCTCAGCAGTGTACTCCGTCGATCTGCCTGTTCTGCTCCCCACTGTTTCTGGTGAATCCTCTCACCCTCCGCATCTCTGGCCTGTACGCCAGTTCTGTATGAATAAATAAATCCTTAAAAAAAAGATTTATCTATGCATACAAGAACTGGGGTACAGGGCAGAGGTGGGGGGGTGAGCGGATTTACTAGAGACAGAGTAGGGAACAGAACAGGCAGATTGACTGAAAGACACAGCTGAGGGGAGCAGTGGGGGAGACAGGAGTGGTCTGCTGTGCCATGTCCATCAGGTCCCAGGCAAGGGGTCAAAGTCAGTGGCTGCAGATAACCTCATAGTGCTGAGAATTAACCCCTTGTGCCACCAGGGAGGCCCTCTTCTACCTTATTCTTAATATCAGAATATTCAGTATTATACTTAAACACTTGTTTTAAGTAACTGAACACTTATTTTCAATATTTATATTAAGAACGTTACAAGGTGTGCCTTTGTCATATTTGTGTGCTATTTCCACAGGCTAGAGATCTAGGAGGAGAACTGCTGAGTTAGAGGGAGAAAATCTGCTTGTTTGTTGAGATAATTAATATTAGTGTTTCTTTTCTGTCTGATTTTTTGAGCGCTGTGCTGGAGGTAGGCAGGTAGGTGGGCCGAGGATCATGGGCCCAAGTGGGGTGCCCTCGCTTTCACTCGCTGAATCTTCTGGCTTGATTTCCTCAAGTATTCTATCTCGTACCTCCCATCGTAACAGGAATTCGAACCTGCAGCAAGAGTCATTTGTCCCTCCGGAAGTGACGCGTGGCGGGGGGGGCGGTGTTTCCGCCTCAAAGGAGGTGGGGCCGAGGCCGCTTTTGCGTTGCGGTCGCAAACTGATGACGCAGAGCGCCGCGTGCAGCCCGCACGTGTGGCTGCTGGTCTCCGGTGTCTGCCCGGCGGCGGCTGCCGCTTTCCCTGGGGGCGTAGTTATTGGCAGCTTCGTCGCGAGAGCCTCAGCAGCTTAGGGGCGCTGAGTGCGAAGTCGGGAACGCTGTGTCCGCCCAGGGCGGAGGGCCACTGGTGATGGAGCACCTTTTGCTGGAGGTAGCGGCGGCGCCTCTGCGTTTAATCGCGGCCAAGAACGAAAAGAGCCGCGGCGAGCTAGGCAGGTTCTTAACCAAGCAGGTAAGGGAATGAACGAATAGCGAAGGCGCCAGACTCACCCGGACAACCCCTTCGCTTGTCGCGGGCGGCCCTGTGCTGAGACGCTCTGCTTTAAGCGAGAAGAGAAGCCGCGTCTTGTTTCTCTGCTCCTCCAAGGGGCTTCCTCAGTGGTCAAGGCATCCGCGAGTGTTGCAGGAAACTGGAAGCACCCTTTTGTTTTTATCTGGGGTAGAATATTCTTTCTCTTTGCAGCGACTTATCCCCATGCAGGCCTGGCCTTCAAAAGGAAATGTGGTTTTTCTATAACTGAGGTTTGTTATCTGCCCTTTTGACATGTTTATTACCTAAGAGCGGAATCCAGCCATCAGTTTAGCTTTGCTGCGTGTTCTTTCCTGTCTCATGTCTTTTCCTCCTATTGACAAATATTGATTGTATTCTTGCTGTGCGTTAGGGACAGTGTGGCAGAAAGATAGATCCTTTCAGAGTACCTATTCAGAGAGGACTGGTCAGAAACAGAAAGATAAATCCTTTGTGGTCTCTTACCTCTGGGAACTTAGCATCTATTTCTGGAGGGAGTTTATCACCGAAAACAATCGAAAGACAAAGCAAGACTGATGTAAGATGAATTAGAATCTTCTGGGACGTTGACGTTCAGACTTATAAGAGCAGCCTGCCTTCTGTGACTTCTCGCAGTCTGAGTTGAGGATCCTTATTGCCCCATTTTTTCCTGGTTTCATTTGATTTTCTATTTTCTGCTTCCTACTCATGCCCCACCCTTCCCACTGCCACCCCGTAAAACTCCTCGCGCCACTCTGAATTTGAAAGTTAAACATGTGTGGGACTCGCTGTTTGTTTTGGGTAACTCGGTATTTAGAACTTAGCTAACTGTGCTTTGCGAGTGCACGTGTGTGTATGTATATCGGTAGAAAGCGAAGGCAGTGATTTAGGTCTACAGTGGCAAGTTGCTAAAACCCTATTGCTTGATGACAATACATGTGTGAATGTGTGAAACAAAGGGGAAGCAAGAGTCAAAGATACATTTAGCTTTTCATGCCTGTGAGGCCCCACCAAAGGGACAACTGGTATAAATGGGAACATCTAGAAGGAAACTGGTTTTTACTAGATCAGAGGAGAGGAAGAGATAATCTGTTTACATGAACTGAGCTTCTAGTAATGGGCTCCTGGATTACATATTGTTGTTAGAGGTACTTTTCTTTAAGAGAATTTTCGAAATTTACAGCAAAACTTCTAAATCTAGGAATCTAGGGACTAGCAAAAGGGATTTATGACTTCCACCGTGGTAATCAGAGGCAAAATAGCTGTTTCTGTATCGGGAGTGGGGTGGGGCAATGTTTTGTAGCTTTTATTAGATACGTTTTTTCAGAACATCACATTGAAACACCGGAACCACTCATTTTGATATAAGGAGAACGTATAGTAATGCCACCACAATTGAAGTTCTGTTTAATTAAGGACAATGGACACTGGGCCACTTTTGCTTCTTTTTCTTTGCCTCATATTGTCTGTCAGATTTTATCCAGTCGCAGAAATGTCTTTCAGGTTTGTTCTTTTCCATTTCAGTGAATTAATTTCAGGCCCTTCACTCAGAGAAGAGTTGATTTTGTGTTGCTGTTCTGTTTTTCTTCCTATCTGGGGGGGAACAAAGTTATTCTTATGGGAAAGGATAGGCTTTTTTTGGAGGGAAACAAAGACTTTTGAAACATTTATTCTCATTGGTGTTTGGGATCCGAAGAAATAATTTTTTTAAAGATTCATTTATTTATGCATACAGAATTGGGGGACAGGTCAAAGGTGTGGAGGGTGAGAGGCAAGAGTGGGGAGCAGAACAGGAAGATGCACCAAAATACACTGCTGATGGGAGCAGCAGGTGCTATGCCGTGTAGCACTTCTCTGGTCTGGGAATGAACTGGTGCTGCAGTGGCTGCCATAGATTCATGGTGCTGTGCCTTAACCCAGTGCGCCACCATGGAGGCCCAAGGAATAATTTTTAAAAAAAAAAGATTTATTTATTTATTCATATAGAACTGGGGTACAGGCCAGAGATGCGGAGGGTGAGAGGATTCACTGGAGACAGCGTGGGGAGTAGAACAGGCAAATCGACGGCAGTACACTGCTAAGGGGAGCCGCGGGCGGGTCAGGAGAGGTCTGCCACGCCATGTGGAGCTCCTCGAGGGCAGGCGGGAATCGAACTCATGCAGAAGTGGCTTAAGCTTAGTGCTGTGCTTTAACCTGCTGTGCCACCAGGGAGGGCCGGAATAATTTTTTAGGATTGTGCTTCAGTCTACTGTGTCCCTATTTGAACTGGTGGCACCACCTTCTCTCCATATAGCTGCTACATATTGGCTGATTGGCCTCAAAACTTTATTCACTTTTCACATACAGACTAATTCTTCTGTTTTGAATGTTCTTAGTATTTAGCCTCTTTCCTCTTCATTCCTACTACAACTAACATACCACAATTTTCATTGCATTTACAACATCTGGGTTTTCCAATACCACCAAACAATTTTTGGACATCAGCTTGGTTTCCTACTTTTTTTTTTTTTTTAAGATTTATTTTATTTGTACATACAGAACTGGGGTACAGGCCAGAGGCTCAGGGGTGGCGAGAGGCTTCACCAGAGACAGAGTGGGGAGCAGAACAGGCAGATCGAGGAAGTACACTGCTGAGGAGAGCAGCGGGCGGGTCAGGAGAGGTCTGCCACGCCATGTGGTCACCTCCGGGGCAGGCGGGAATCGAACTCATGTGGAAGTGGCTTTAGCTTTTCAGTGCAGTGCTTTAACCCGCTGCGCCACCAGGGAGGGGCCGGTTTCCTACATTTTAATTAAATTCTGATAATATCTACCTAGTAACCGCATTTGATGCCACATTGTAAGTCTCACTCTTGTAAGAATGTCTTCCTCTCTCCATCAGATCCCAGTCACAATTTTGGGTTGTTACCACCAGTGCTTCAGGCTAATCTGCCATAGATTGGAAATTCCAGTGATACTTTCCTTGAGTTTAGTTTGCTCAAGCTGCTCAGAAAACCCAGCATCATTTTTCTTAATAGATTACCAGTTTCTCATAGAATAATATAACTCTGGCACAAACAGATGAAATAGACTCATATGTCAAAGAGTGTTGGATGGGACACTGGGTTTTTTGTGCCTTGTCCCAGTAGCTAACTCCCCTGTGTCACCACATCTTCACCAACCAAAAACTCTGGTTAGGTCCTACTGGGTCCTTGTAGAGAATTCTTCGCTTGGGTATGGTAGATTAAATCACTGCCTACTGGTAACCAAACTCAATCTTCATCCCCTTTTAGCTCTGCAGATGTGAGAGGGTTAGGACTAGAGGTTTTCTGACACCTAGCCCCATTCTTGGGTGCTTTCAAAAATAATTAATTTAATTTAATTAAAATGTATTTATAACATGGGGTTAATATCTGTTATTGTGAGGATTAGATACTCTGGCTATAAGTGTTGCTATTATGAAATTGTTGTGAAGATAGATAATGGATGTGAGAAACATACCTTAGTTTCTGCCACATAGTAAATAATCAATTTCTATGAGCTATAAAAATAATAAATGAAAAAAAAAACTGATAAACTGTGATGTTACCATACCAACCAACCAACCAGTTCACTGTACAGATCACTGCTTTTGCTGTGTTCAAGGATATATACAACTATTTTAGAGCATATGTATTACTTAAAAAGAGGCCCTGGAACCTTTTAGGTATCATCCCTCATCAAAAAAAGAAAAAAACCACTAACTTTTTTACTCTGTAGTTTCCTAGTCTAGTATTTAATATAATTATAATTAATAAGACCAATCAGAATTTGTCATTCTGCATAAAGTGACCCCACTGTTCCTGTAGAATCAAAACTAAGCTTTCTAAAATGGTATAAAGGTAAGTCTTATATATATTTTTTTATACAGGGTTGAAAGGGGCAGTTAATGGAGTAAATGCAGAAAATTAGTATGTATGTAGGATATTTAAATACTGTTGTCAACAAGCTTGAACTAATTGACATTTATAGAGGGCTGTGCTCAATAACTACAGAATACAAATTTTGCACATCTGGAATACTCAACAAGATAGATACTGTGCTGGCCAATTTGGCAAGTCTCAGTAAATCTAGGAGGCTTGAAATCAAATATATAGTATATTCAAGCATTCTGATGGTATTATAGTAGGGGGAAAAAACCTAAAATACTGGGGGGGGGGATCCCTAAATATTAAAAATTCAATGATAGATATTTTTAAAAATCTGATGGTTATTAAAGAAATCACTGGGAGAACTGGACAAAATATTTTGGACTGAATGATAGTGAAAAGAATTTGTAGGGTACAACATTTTTAGAGGGAAATGACAGTATTTCTTATTAGGAAAGGAAGTTTTGAAGTTATTGATACAAAACTTTCCTAGGAAATTAGAAAAAGAAGGGCAGATTAAATGTAAAATAAGTAGAAGGAGGGAATTATAAAGCTGGAATGAAATAGGGTATGAACAAACAGCACACCAGTGAAATCAGAAGTTGATTCTTTAAGAAGATTGATCAAGAAAAAACGGGGAAAATCCAAGCTACTGCAAATGAGAGGCCACTATTGCAGATCTTGAAACTGTAAAAAGTTGCTAATGTGAACAATTTTATACCAATGAATCAAACAATTAATTGACTCTCAAAATCCACTCAGGTCCTCACTGGTGGTCTAGGGATTGAGTCTCTGCGCTATCACTGATATGGCCTGAGTTTGATTCCAAGCCAGGGAGCTAATGCACATATAGCACCAGCAGACCTCTCCTGTCTTGCCTGCTACTCCCTTAGCACTGCATTCCAGGAAATCCACCTGTTCTGCTCCCCACTCCAGCTCTGGTTGATCCTTTTACACCCCCAGCCCAGCACCCCAATTCTTCTTTGCAAAAATTAAAAAAAAAAAAAGTCTACATAGAACAAAAGAAGCTGGGAATAAAGTACAACTTCCTCAAGTTGATTTAGAGCACTGACAGATCTGTAGCTAACATCATAGTTATGCAGGAAGAACCCAAACTTAAAAATGGGGAAAAGACATGAATAAACACACCCAAAAGAAGATAACAAATAAACAAACATTTCATTTTAATTTTTCTTTTATGATTTCCATTAAACATTGAAAAAACAACTATCAATTTCAGTGTCATGCAAATAAAAGCATTATGTATCATTGCACCCTCAAGTAGGATGGCACAATAAGACTGACAATACTATTTGTTGGTGCATTTATGCAGCAGTTAGAGCTCTCAAACATTGTTGGTGAGGATGTAAAATACTGCAGTGTTTTTTTTTTTTTTTTTAGGTTAAACATCAAAACATTTTTTTTAGACAATTAAAAAATTAAGCCTACGGTCACCGTGATCCAACAATCTCATTTTCAGCTAGTAAAAAAAGTAAGCAGTGAAAATAAGTAGCTGGAAATAGTAAATATCATTAGTGTGTGAATGAATAAAGAACTTGTATGCTGGAACAATGAAAAGCTAGTCGATTATATAAAGGAATTATTGAAGCACAAAGATTGTCTTTAGAGGGCTTACTGGTTTCCTTGCCTTTGTTTTTTGAAATTTGTCAGATGACCTATTGCAGAATAAATGAGTCAATCACATTTTTATGCCACTAGCCTCAGTGGCTATCACCTGTGGGTGGCCTTGATGGTGTTAATTTGGGAAGGTACTTGGGAGCATGGGTGCGGGTGCCTGATGGTGAACACCTGGAGTATGGGTGCGCGCACATGTGCAATTGTGCACACCTGAGTCTAGAGGCGGGGCTAAAAGCAGCATTAGTGGTAACAGCTAGAGAAAGACACCACATAAGGGAGGAAGTGGTGGGAGACGAGAAAGGAGTGGGGGGGGGGCAGTATGGAGAGGGGACGCCAGAGAGCTTGCCTACCTCCCAGACTCACTTGCCCAGCCCTGCCTGCAGCCTGTTTGTTCAACGCCTGTAAACAGTAAAGTTAATCTTGATAGATACTTTTGCAAGATAACATTTTTCACAATCAGTACTTAGTTCAGAATCAGGTGTTATGGGAAAATGCCTTATAATTTGGGAGACTTTGTAAGAGCTCAAGTGTATGGTGACCTCCTTTTCTGAATAATACCTTAGGAAAGCATTTTTTTTTTGCATATACTATTTAGGTTCATTTCAAACTGCCCTTCTGTAAGTAACTTTTTAGTGTGGGATACATTCATAGTATTAAGTGTGCCCCTTTCATAATTTTTCTCTTTTTCTGCAGGGTGTCAGTCAGAAATGAGGGGTGGGGGTGAGAACAATCACTAAAGACAGTGGGGAGCAGGCAGACAGATATGTTAATGCACTGCTGAGAGAGCAGTGGGCGAGCAAGAGAGGTCTACTGGGGTGTGTGGTGTTTGGTCTGTTCCCTGGCCTGGGATGGAGCTCAGGCCATAGCCGTGGTAGCACTGATCGGGAACCTCTGGGCCACCAGGGAGGCTCCCACTTTCATAGTTTAAACCTGCTGTCATATTGCATGGCTCCCAGGGTTGTGCAGCCTTGCAAACACAGAAAGTAATATGAGAGCTTGTACACACTTTAGTTTTCCCTTCTATGCTTAAAAATGTTCCGAACCCAAGCACTAGAATGTTTTCCCTGTTTAATCTAGCCTAGCGGAGGGTGGCCAGTGAGACTACTTACTTTAGGTTTTGTTTTTTAGGGGTTGAAGCCATTATAATTTGATTCTTAATTCATTTCCAGAAACTGATTTCTTCTTTTTCTCAAGAGAGTTGATGGTTTTGCATACTAACTGCAGGGTTTTTTTATTTTACAATTTTGATTTCTGTGATTTTCTTTAAGAGCAAGGGAACTGGGGAAAACATTTAATTCTTTAGTGTCTCAAGCTCCTGAAATACAGACTTTACAGGGAAACTAGCATTTTATGTGGAATCCAAGTATCAGTCCTTTTACCTCAAACATTAGTGAACTAAAACTTACTTGCAGTAATCTTTACATTGAATTACTCTTAATTCTCCCTTCCCCCCCCCAAAAAAAATCACTTTTATAAGATAAATTCACATATGAAGTCTGGAATTTGGCTATTCTGATTCTAAACTAGGGTTCTTTGATATTCTGCTGCAGTGCTGTTGTTTGCATAGACATTTTATTTTGTCTTGAAGGTGTGGACACCTCAAGATCGCCAGTGTATCCTGAGTACTTTAGCACAGTTGCTTCTGGATAAGGACTGTACTGTACTGATTGGTCACCAGCTGCGCCCTCTCCTTTTGGATTTGCTGGAAAGGAATGCCGAAGCCATTAAAGCTGGAGGCCAAATCAACCATGATCTACATGAACGGCTTTGTGTATCAATGAGCAAACTCATTGGTAACCATCCTGACGTGCTCCCGTAAGTAATAGCTTTATGCTTTGTGTTTCTCCTTAAAGTGGAAGTAATAAGGAGTTGAGAAAAAGAAAAGGAAAAATATACAAAGGAGAGAGATAGTAGTATTTTCTAAAAGTAAGGGAGGAGGAAGCAGTACAGGAGAATCCATTTATCTCAGCTCAGTTCACTGCCAGTTTACTAGGTTTCTTTAAGGTCTTGGTCATCAAAACAGGTCTGGAAAATTGTTAAGACATTTCCCTACCCTTATGTAATCAGTCTTGTCCATTAGATGGAATTAAATGAGTTTTAGCTGAGGCTCTTGTAACATTTACATCAGAGGAATGGATTTCTTACTTGCTGAAACAGGTGAAGAGAGTAGGTTAAAAGAGTTTCAGTGTATTTTTCTTCTTTTTTTCTTTTTGTTTTAAAAGTACTTCTCTTTTTTTCTTTTTTTCTTTTTTAAAGATTTATTTATACATTCGAGATTTGGGGTACCAGAGACAGTAGGGAGCAGAACAGGCAAATTGTGCCCACAGGGCACAGCAGACCTCTACTGTCTCACCCACTGCTCCTTTCAGCAGTGTTTTTTAGTCAATCTGCCTGTTCTGCTCCCCACTGTCTCTGGTGAATCTTCTCTCCCCCTTGAACCTCTGGCCTGCTACAAGAGCCTCCTTACTAGATAGCAAGCTCCTCAAGGTAAGCATCTATTTGGTTTTGAATCTCCACTACTTAAACATAGTACCTGGTTCATAGAATTTTATTAAATGGTTTTTTTTTGTCCTTCTAGTCAGATAGCGCATACCATGCTCCTGGTTCCTGGACTTGATCAGGAGAGTCTTAGTACTAGGAACCTGTAGCATTCATCTCTCTTTGTTATAGATGAGTGGGTTTTATTTGTTTAATAACAAACAGCAATACGTATTTGTAATCTCAAAGTAGAAATGTATTTTTTGATACTTTCACCAACCACTGAAATACTTTTTCTTTCTGAAGTTTTGCCCTGAGGTATTTCAAAGACACTTTCCCAGTCTTTCAAAGACTCTTCCTTGAGAGTTCAGATGCAAATCCAGTCCGATATGGGCGCAGGCGGATGAAGCTCCGGGACCTAATGGAAGCAGCTTACAAGTTTCTGCAGCAAGAGCAGTCTGTATTTCGGGAGCTCTGGGACTGGAGTGTGTGTGTCCCTCTTCTCAGAAGCCATGATACCTTGGTCCGTTGGTGCGTAGCTCTTGGACTTTTCCTTTACTTCAAGGGTGGGAGTGGTAGATGGGTGTAGAGTTGTATGCACAAAGAGAAAAGGGAAACCATTTAAAATTTATTATTTTTCTGGTGCCTTTGATTTCTTAGTCCTTTACCTTAATCATGTGTGATTAGCAATGTGAGATATGAGGAGTTTCACCTTTTTTCTTTAGGTGATTTCCTCATGTCTGATTTATATTTTGTACTCTGAAGTTTGTTACCTGAATTTTGTAAGATTTTCTTTTCCAGTGTTCAGCTGACTAGCAAATTTTGTAGAACTAACTGCAGGTTAACTAAATTTATACACTTTTCTCCAGGTACACAGCCAATTGTCTTGCTTTGATCACTTGTATGAATGAAGAGCACAAGTTATCATTCCTTAAGAAGCGTTTTAGTAACGAGGAACTGATTCATTTTAGGTTGAGGTAAGCAGGGAACAATTTCTTGGCCATCTTGGTGTACTATTACTGTGCATTAAAATACTTTGCATAAAGTACTGTGCATAAAAGTACCTTTTTCCTTAGGTTATTAGAAGAGGCCCAGCTACAGGACTTGGAGAAGGCCTTGGTTTTGGCCAATCCAGAAGTTTCCCTTTGGCGTAAGGAGAAGGAGCTGCATTACTTACAAGGGCACCTTGTTTCAGCTGACCTCTCCTCCAGGGTGACTGCTGTCTGTGGTGTGGTGCTGCCTGGGCAGCCACCTGCCTCTGGAGAACAGGTATGTTGTCATCATTAGGGTCTGTGCCCCTTCTTCCTCCTAAACATGGAATGTGCTTTTTCCCTTAGCTGGGCTTTCTGTAATAGGTATCATCAGCAAATCAGTTTTGCCAAATGGGTAATATGTTTTCAGAAGTGCTCAAGGAGCGATTAAGAGACATTTACTATCTGCCCACCTCTAATACTTATTTTAGGCCTTATTTAATGTTAAATTAGAAAGTAATGATCCCTCTTTGATACTTTCAGCAAAGCTTTTCCATATATCTTCTCACTTACTACTCTGTGAATTTGGAAGGCAATGTTGTGGCGCTCTGTTATATATGGTATAAAAGGAGAGTGACTTGCTTAGAGACCTTCCAGTTGGTCTTTGACAAAAGGTTAGGTCTAGATACAGCTCCCAACACCCTTTTTCTATCAGAATTTTCTTCTTGCCTAATGTGTGGGAGATTACTATCTGTAATAAATTCCACCCCCCTTTCACCCTTTCCACCATACGAATAACCTTTCTAAGAAGGTGCCTCTAGACAACACTTCAGAAAGACTTGTATATCAAAGTTTAAACCTTTGAAACCAATATTTGCCATCAGTCTGTAGTTGTTTCAATGTCCAGTTCCACCCAGTGATCTTCCTGGGTCGTTCCTTGAACCATCATTTTACTAGCCAATACAATTAAAAGAATTTAAAGTACATTGAATATTTAAGAGAGTACATGTATTAACTGTACCACTCAATGATTATTCATAGATGTGTTACCAGTCCTAAGAAACCACCCCTCCCAAAGCCTCTTGTGCTTCTCTCTAGTCACTAAGATATCTTCTACACCCCCCAAAATACCATTTTTTACTATCTCCTAACAAGTTAGATTTGGGACATTAGACTTTTAACAGAGTGGGATTCTGGTTGGAGCATATATATTCTTTTTTTTTTAAAGATGTATTTATTTATACACACAGAACTGGAGTATATGTCAGAGGTGCAGGGGTGGTGGGAGGATTCACCAGAGACAGAGTGGGGAGCAGAACAGGCAGATTAATGAAGTACACTGCTGAGGGAGCAGGGTGTGAGCCAGGAGATGTCTGCTGCTCCATGTCGATCAGCCCCGGGGCTGGGGATCAAACTCATACTGCACCTTAACCTGTTGCTGCGCCACCAGGGAGGGCCCTCTTTTTTTTTTTTTATAAGATTTGTTTATACATAAAAGAGCAGAGGTGCAGGGGGTGAGAGGATTCTCCAGAGACAGACTGGGGAGCAAATATGCTGAAATAACACTGGTTAGAGGAGTAGCAGATCAGACAGGTGAGGTCTGCTGCACCATGTGGGTTAGCTCCCCGGCCTGGAGTTGAACTCCTGCTGCAGTGGCTGCTGATAGCTTCATAATGCTGCGAATTAATTTTTTGCACCATCAAGGAGGCCCAGTGCACACATTTTTTTTTTCATATTTTTTTTTATTAAAAAGTTTATTTTTACATCATTTTGCACATTTTTTTTTCAATCTCAATTGTAATCCCCACGGGTTTCCCATCACCAAATCACCCCTGTGCCACCACCATAGTCCCGCCAGTGCACACATTTTTGATGTTGTATGGAAGTGGCAGAGCACTATAGCAGGAGTACAGAATTGCGGACTGTGGTCTAGATTGACTGCTAAAGTGCAAAGAGTAGAAGCCATACAGGCAGTTCAAGAACTTCCAGCTTTTTTTAAGTATGTTTATTGAGGTGTTGTTGATTTATTTATAACTGTATGTTCTAGGGGTATAAGTTCATACCTACGGATATATCTTATGTGGCATCTACCACCAAAGCAGCAATAATCTTCCACCATAGTCTCTTTCTCCTTTTATCCACTATCCCCAGTCACTCTCCTCTTGTAGCTTTTGCCTTCACATATCTTTAGTGGACTAGTCATGTTTCAAAATTATTATTTGAAAGTTAAATAATCATTCTATAGTAAACCCTTTTCCCTGTGTTATAGTTGGTACATTATCCCTCAGGATGAGGGATGAAACAAATGACAATAAAAGAAAGGTAAAAAGAGCTGTACTTGGATCGCATACCCGTGGTTATTACAGTTTGGGCACTATTTTATTGACAACGGTTTGTGTAATGGTCAGTGGAAGCACTGTTAAAGAGGTAAACTTAAGTCTTTTGGAGGAAAGACTCTTGACATGTTTTACTCTCCTTTGCCTCCTTAGACTGGTAATAGCTCCTCTCGTGAGCAGGACCTGGCCTTTCAGTCTTACGTGTTGGTTGAGTCAGTCTGCAAAAATCTTCAGACCTTGGCTATGGCAGTAGCTTCTCAGAATGCTGTGCTATTGGAAGGACCAATAGGCTGTGGCAAAACGTCCTTAGTTGAACACTTAGCTACAGTGACAGGTAGAAGAAAGCCCTCTCAACTGCTCAAGGTCCAACTTGGAGATCAGACCGACAGTAAGGTAATGAAGAAGTGGTAAATTTTGGAGGGTTAACATCCCTTTTTTTTTTTAATATTAAAATATAATTTTAAAAATTTTACTTATTTTTGCATAGAAGGATTGGGTTGTAGGTCAGAGGGAGGGTAGTTGTGAGAGGATTCAGCAGAGACAGAGTGGGGAGAAAAATAGGCAGATCTACTGAAATAACACTGCTGAGGGGAAAGGCCAGCAAGATAGAGGAGGTCTGCTGCACCCTGTGGATTAGCTCTCTGGCTGGAGGTCAGACTCAGGCTATAGGGTTGGGCTATTGCAGTGCACTGGAATGTAATCCCCCCAGCCACCAGGGAGCTCCTGAAGTATTGTTTTTGCTAAGAAAGTGAGAATAGTTACTGTGCTTAGTAACAAGCAGTAACTTATGGGACCGTAACTAGTGGGGCCAAGCTGGGACCGTAACTAGTGGGGCCAAGCTGTGAAAACTTGTGCTTGCTTGTAGCCCTTTAGAAGTTTAATGGCACTATTTTATTGGCTAAGGTTTGTGAAAGGATATAGCATTGCCATCGTGTATGTGGTTATCAGTAATTATTCTTTTTCTGCAGATGTTGTTGGGAATGTATCGCTGTACAGATGTCCCAGGAGAGTTTGTGTGGCAACCTGGCACCTTGACTCAAGCAGCCACAAAAGGCCACTGGATCCTTCTGGAAGATATTGATTATGCACCCTTAGATGTGGTATGTTATCTCAATAGCATTAAAGATGCTTCCTAATATTTTGCTTCTCTTTGAAGAGCGTTTTGTTAATAGTTACTCTCGGATAATTTAAGCAATACAGGTGTTTTGATTAGAGATAGTATATGGTAGGAAGCTCATTTATGGTTTCCTACCCAGTCTAAGTTAGGGGTTTGAATTCCTTCCCTTATCTCTTTGTTTCATTAAAAACAAAATGTAAAATGCTGCTGGTGTTATTACCACTACTAGTTGATTACATGACTAGTATTTTGGGTAGAATGGCCTTTTTTTTTTTTTAAGATTTATTTATTTATTCATACAGAACTGGGATACAGACCAGAGATGCAGAGGGTGAGAGGATTCACCAGGGACAGAGTGGGGAGCAGAACAGGCAGATTGATGAAGTACACTGCTGAGTGGAGCAGCAGGCGGGTCAGGAGAGGTCTGCCACGCCATGTGGATCTCCTCCGGGGCAGGCGTGGATAGAACTCATGCGGAAGTGGCTTAAGCTTCTTAATGCAGTGCTTTAACCCGCTGTGCCACCAGGGAGGGCCAGAATGACCATTTTAATGCATTTTACTGTTCCAGTTCACGAGTAGGGCATCTTTCCATTTCCTTGTGTTTTCTATTTCTTTTCACAATTTTTTATACTTTTCATTGTATAGTTCCTTCACGTTCACTCCTATACATTTCATTCTCTTTTTTGCACTTGTGAATGGGATTGTTTTCTTGATTTCTTTTTCTTTTAACCAGTTTGCATGTGGAAATGCAACTGATTTTTGTGAGTAAATTTACTATATTGATTTATTATTTCATTTAGTTTTTTAGTGGAGTCTTAAGGAGTTCCTATGTATACTATCATATTATCTGTAAATAGTGATAGCTTCATTTCTATTTTTCCAATTTGTACTACTTTTATATTTTTTCTTGCCTAATTGCTCTAGTTAGAACTGCCAATACTATGTTGAAAAGTAAGTGGGCCTCCTTGCCTTATACCAGATCTTAGAAGAATCTCTCAGTTCTCTGCCACTGAGTATGATGTTGGCTCTGGGTTTGTTGTATGTTGAAGTATGTAGAAACTTGGCTTCCTTACACGGCACTGACTTGTACCAGTGAAACTTAAAAATAACCTGCGATAGAAATCACAAGGTTAATAACAGTATTTGTTGAGTCTTTTCCTCTTCTAGTGCTTCCCTTTCTGGATAGTTTTTTCAAACAGTAAACACCTGAGAAGTCATTCAACTTCTGAATTGTAGAATTAGAGTCAACGTGACTAAATGAGTATCAGGAATATTTCATCTAGGCCTGATGTATCCCTGTCTCAGTTAAACATAATCTTTTCATGACCGGTACAGATAAAAGACCAAATGACAATTTCTATGTCGTTCTCACTGCCAGAGTATCAGAAAAATCCCTGTACCTTAAATTCCTTCTGTGCATTCTGTTAATACATTATTTCTAGTGGGTATATGATTCAGTTAGCTATTTAATTTTTTTTTATTAGCTATATTTCCAGAATTTACCAGCCATTAGTTAACCCACTGCTATTTTAAGGTGATTTTTTTTTTTAAAGATCTCATTGAGGACTATTAACTTTCAAGTTTTAGAATTATCTTGGATTATGTTATTTAAACTTTCCTTTTAGCATCTCTCCATAAATGAAATAATTATGCTTAACAAAATTAACTGATATTTTATCACCCTCTTCTTGACTTTTTGTTCTTTTTTTCTTTTCAAAATTATATAAAATCATGTCCCTTAAATTCATGTCTAGCACATTTCTCAAAAATTCTCTACTTTGATATACCATAGCAATGTGAGTTAAAGATGTCCAAGTTGGAATTTACCTACTTTTTGTCAGAAGTCTTTTCTGTCACATAGTCACCAAACTAGAAATTAGATGTCTTCTTGTAGTCTCTTGTTCAGTTTTTTTTCATACTGCTTAATATTTTGTTCTTCCCTTGTTGTTTTCTCTTATCTCACTGTCATAGCACAGGTCTTCTTATTTGAGCTCCCTGTCTATCATCTGCCTATAATTGCCTTTTTACCTAGTGTATTTTTTTCTCTTTTCCTCTAGGCTAGCTCCCTTCAGATCATTTTCTTATATTGTTGTACAGTTGGTTTTCTAAGATGAGAAGTATGATTTTTTTCCTGGTTTCAAATCCACTCTCAATAACTAATGAAAAAATTCAGATTCCTTAGCACAGGCACCCTTCTGTCCTTCAGCTTTGTGATTTTTCTTTTTTAAAGATTTATTTATGCTTACAGAACTGGGGTACAGGCAAGAGGTGCGGGGGGGGGGGGTGGGGGAGGGTGAGAGGATTCACCAGAGACAGTGTGGGGCAGAACAGGCAGATCAAATGAAAGACATTGCTGGCGGGGAGCAGTGGGTGAGACAGGAGAGGTCTGCCATGCCATATGCTTTAACTTTGTGCCACCAGGGAGGACCCCCTCAGCTTTATGATTTTCTGCTGCTTCATGTGCACATCTTATCCTAATTATAACAGAATATTCTCATGCCATATTCTTTGGCATGTATGCTTTTTATACATTTGAATATTGTTGCCTGGTATACGTGCATCATTTCTTTCCTACTGAATCTGGCTAATTCCTGCTCATGCTTTAAAACTCAGTAAATACAATGGAGACTTTATAGACTAGTATCTGACAGAAGATAGTCGTACAACCACAACCAGTCATTATCTAGACAGCTTCACTGCTGTGCTTCTAAACCTCTCCATTCTGATTCACAGGCACTCTCTATATTCCTATGTTGTCTTATATACCCCAGGGGTCATACTGGTTGTGTTGTATAGAGGTTTGTATGACTCTTGTCAAGTCTCAGTTATATTTACTTATATTCTTAGTGTCTTGTTTGGTGCTACCCCATAGTAGATTTGCAGTGCAAGTTGAATGAATAAATTGTTTTGCTGGAGAGTTGTTTTTTTTTTAGCTTCCATCTTGATAACTTTACCCATGGGTTTTATGATTTAGGTTTCTGTGCTGATCCCACTCTTGGAGAATGGTGAGCTCTTGATTCCTGGCCGAGGTGACTGTCTGAAAGTGGCTCCAGGATTTCAGTTCTTCGCAACCAGGAGGTATGTCCTCTTCCTATGATGGAGCCTTTTCTCCATAAGTCTGCATGCTGTTGTGCTGGGTCTAGAAGTCCTTGAATAGAGCTCTCTGTACCTTTTTTAAACAAGCTTGAAACTGATACTAGCTCCAATCTTTTCATTCCTGCTTTTTTGGGGGGGTTGGTGGTGGTGGTATTGGGTTAGGGCGGGTTTACTGAAACACACTGCTAAAGGAGAGCAGGGGGCGAGACAGGAGAGGTCTGCTCTGCCATCTGTGGGTTAGCTTCCTGGCCAAGGATCAGACTCCAATCATAGCAGTGATGTTGCCGAGATTTAATCTGGAGGCCACCAGGGAGACTCTATGTATTGCATTTTAAAATGATCCATTTATTAAGAAAGAAAGGAAAATAAAGAGATACATGCATAGAAACAAGTGGACGAAAAGCTGCTGCTGTGGCTGCTACTGATTTTGAAAGGAAAATCTATTTGTTAAAATAGAAAGTCTGTTTGTTAAAATAGATGCCTGCCTGAGACACAGGCAGTTTTTGGACCAGAATTGCCCCCATCTACATTTTATAACATTAAGGCAGTGGTTTATTTCTTACTGGTAGAATCTACCTGTATAGCTTATCCAGATTCTTAAGGAAGTGCCCAAGAGAGGAAACTAATGTCACATTGTATTTAGTGATTACATTAGTATTTACTGTATCCCAGTGAACATTCAAAGAATGATGGCGTACCATCAGGACAGTTGTGTGAAGATTAAATTTAGTGGCTTAGCTATAAGCATGTTGCTTGTCCAGTGAGTGTGTTTGAAGACTATACCTTCTTTTCTGGAAAATTTTAATAGTTTTATGGATTGTAGATGTGCAGGAACTCATTATTATAGTAAAAATTAAAAAATACATTTTTGACATTTCAGGTATATAGCTTTTAGCAGTGAACTTGTTTTTAACCCAGTTGGTGTTGGTTTATTTTTTTTCCTTTAAGTTTTTGCCTTCAAGAATTCTTGGCATCAAAGATCTAGTAGAGTAACCTGTAATGATTTGAAAATCACATTGTTAAAAGTTATTACTCCTTAAAAAAAAAAAAAAAAGTTATTACTCCTTAGTAAAAGGGTCAGAGTTCATTCAACTGTCAGCCTTTGCTTTGCCTTGTAAGCCCAATAGTGGTCTCTGACACCAGAAGGGATTCTGAGTATATTTATATGTGAGATAATGCCTAACAAGTGATATCTAGGGTCATAATTCAAGATTCGGAATTTTATGTTATTCTTTTATTTTGAAATATAGACTCTTAAGCTCTGGAGGAAATTGGTATCGACCACTAAATAGTCATGCTACTCTGCTAGACAAATATTGGACCAAAATTCATCTGAATAACATGGATAAGTCAGAGCTGAAGGAGGTATGTGATTGCTAGAATGTACTGATGCTTTTTACTTTTTATTTTATGCGTTCCAGATTTAACATGAAAAAAAAATCAAGTTGTATATTGAATTACCAAAATACTCATCAATCTAAATTTAAGTTAGTGCATTTTTATTTTACTATACTGAACCGCATCTATTAATTTTTTAAAAAGATGTATGCATAAATAAATTAAAATATAAGAACTGGGGTATAGGCCAGAGGTTTAGAGTTTGAGAGGATTCACCACAGACAGAGTAGAGAATAGTACAGGCAGATCTCTGAAATAAACTGTTAAGGGGGCAGCGGGCAAGCCAGGAGGTCTGATGTGCTATGTAGCTTAATTTCCTGGCTAGGATTAAACTCCTGCTGCAGTGGCTGCTTATAGTTTGATAGTGCTGAGACTTAACCCCTTGTGCCACCAGGGAGGCCCACGTCTAGTTATTTTTATTCAGTGATACATTTGAAAGCAAACTCCATAACATTTCACCTTAATGCTTCAATGCATCTAAAAAAGTTAAGGGCATTTTTCTATCTAACCACAATAACGTTATTATACCCCCAAGAAAGGAACAATGATTCCTATCTACCTTTTAACTTGCAGACCATATTTAGTTTTACCAAATGTCTTCAAAGGATTTTTTTGTTAAGTTGGTTTGTAACTAATTTATTTATCACTTGACAGCTTAATACACATTCTGATTTGGATACTATCAAAAATTCAGACCAATTATTTTATAGATTTACACATTGATTCATTGTACATTGATTGTAGTAGCACTGGCTATCCTTGATCAAAGTTATAGCTCATTTTATGTTGTTCATACACCATTATCTTTGAATCTACCATCTCCCTTAGAAAAGCTTCCTATTCCTTAACTCTTCATCTTGGGTAGTAGTGGCAGATAAAACTTTGTCAGTAATTACTCAGGTCTGGGAGAGATGCTGTGCTGTTTTTTGGTGTTAAGTTTTTATATAAGTAATTGGCATAAGGCAGTCTTTTCAATTTTTTTTAAAAATATATTTATTGCATTTCTGTGCTTTTTGCTTTTTTTTTTTTTTTAGATTTATTTATTTATGCATACAGGAACTGGGGTATAGAATAGAGGTGCAGGAGGTGAGGGAGTCACCAGAGACAGTGGGGAGCAAAACAGGTATATCTACTGATACACACTGCTGAGGGGAGCATCAGGCTACAGGAAAGGTCTGCTGTGCCATGTGGGTAGCTCCCTGGCCAGGTATTGATCTCAAGCTACAGTGGCTGGAGGTAGTTTGAGAGTGCTGAGACTTTAACCCCTGCTTCACCAGGGAAGCCCTTTTAAGGCCCTTTTAAGGGCTCCCCTAAATAACTGAGCCCTTACTAAAGTATTAAACATTATGATGTTTTGTTTTCAAGATTTACTTATTTATGCATATAGAACTGGGGTACAGGCCAGAGGTGCAGGGGCAGTGAGAGGATTCACCAGAGACAGAGTGAGTGGGGAACAGAACAGGTAGTTTGACAAAGTACACTGCCGAGGGGAGCAGCAGGTAAAATAGGAGAGATCTCCTGCGCTATGTCAGTCACCTTGGCTATGCCACGGATTGAACTCATGCTAAAGTGGCTGCAGCCAGCCTTGTAGTACTGTGCTTTAACCCATTGTGCCATGAGGGTGGGCCCTGTTAATGAGGTTTTTTAAGTAAAAATACCTTTTCCATCTTAATCATTCTGTACATGTTCATATAGTGGAATCGCTACTCAGCGGTAGAAAAGGAATAAGATAATGATACATAAAGTAATGAAGATTGGATGAATCTCAATGACGTCATGTTGAGCAAAAGAAACTAAACTACATACTGCAAACCATATGATTCCATGTGGGATATAGCTACTCAGCAGTAGAAAAGGAATAAATTAATGATACATAAAGTAACTATGATTGGATGACTCTCAGTGGTCATGCTGAACAAAAAAAACTAAATGGCATACTGCAACCCATATGATTCCATGTGTGATTTTTTTTTTTTAAAGGTTTATTCATACAGAACTGGGGTATAGGCCAGAGATGCAGAGGGTGAGAGGATTCACCAGGGACAGAGTGGGGAGCAGAACAGGCAGATCGACGAAGTATACTGCTGAGGAGGGCAGCTGGCAGGTCAGGAGAGGTCTCCCACACCATGTGGATCTCCTCAGGGCAGGCGGGGATCGAACTCATGCCGAAGTGGCTTAAGCTTCTTAGTGCTGTGCTTTAACCAGCTGCGCCACCAGGGAGGACCCCGTGTGTGATATTCTTAAAAGGCAAATACTTAGGGAGTATGGTTCCAAGAGGCAAAGATTAGGGGAAGGAATTTATTATAAAAGGGACATGAGGAAATATTTGGCTTAAGGTGTGATGAAATAGTCTGCATTTCATTGTGGTGGTAGATACATGATCATAGACATATTTCTAATATACTCAATACTTCTAAAGTAGTCTTGAATAAACATTCATATTATGAAGCTTTGGAAGTAATATGATCACTGTGCATCATATGCTACCGTAAATTTTCAGTAGTTATTGAGGTGAATAGAACTAAATTTTTCTGCTTTTTAAATTCTGCTTTCTGCTCTTTAAATATCAACTGTTGGGTCTCTCTGGTGGCACAGGGACAGTACAGTTAAGCTGTCACCAGCCACTTCAGCACAGGTTCGATCCCCAGCTGGCCAGGGAGCTGACCCAAATGGCACAGCCAACCTCTCCTGTTCCACCATCTGCATCCCTCAGCAGTGTATTTCAGTAGATCTTCCTGTTCTACTTCTCACTCTGTCTCAGGTGAATTCTGTCAACCTCCTCCCCTACCCACCTCAGCCTCTGGCTTACACCTCAGTTTCATATATGTAAATAAAATAAATCTTTAAAAATGAATAATGTTTTTCATCAGTACTATATCACTGGCTCTTTTCACTGTGATCTGGTTTTTAAAATTTATTTTATCTGGGCCCTCCCTAGTGGCACAGTGGGTTAAAGCACAGGCTATTTGCAGCACCTTCAGCTGGAGTTCGATCCCTGGCCAGGGAAGTGACCCACATGGCATAGCAGACCTCTCCTGTCTCACTCACTGCTTCCCTCAGTGTACTTCGTCACACTGTCTGTTCTGCTTCCCACTCTGTCTCTAGTGAATCCTCTCAGAGCTCCTGCATCTCTGGCTTTTACCCCAATTCTGTATGCATAAATAAATCTTTAAAAAAAATTAGTTTTTCTTTTTGCATTTGCTGCTTTTGATTTTGGCTAAAAAAAAAAATGCACAGCAGATCTTACTAGAACTATGTTTAAAATTGAAATATGGAGCCTAGGGTTAAGTCTCAGCAGAAATATGTATATAATCATGTAATCTACCACCCACAATCAAATATAGACTATTTTACCACACAGTGATAAAATAGCACTATCACCACTGTGTGGTAAAATAGTCTATATTTGATTGTGGGTGGTAGATTACATGATTATATACATATTTCTAATACAAAATATTTCCCTTTTTGAAGTAGTGTTGAATGAACCAGTTCATACCAGGAAGCTTTGGAATACGATTACTATGTATCCTATGCTGCAGAAAATTTTCACTTCAGTCCTCACACTGACCTACATATGGTGCAGCAGACCTCTCCTATCCTGCCTACTGCTCCCTTTGGCAGTTTATTTTGGTAGAGCTGCCTGTTCTGTTCCCCACTTTCTCTGGTGAATGCTCTCAACCTTAGCACCTCTGGTTTATACCCCAGTTCTACACAAAAATAATTTCAATAATTGTGGGATTCTTGAGTGAGTAAACTTCTGGAACCTAGATGCATGGTTGCCTGGAGATCTTTCCCCATCTGGCATTTCAGTCTGAGCTGTGTTATAGATAATGAAATTGCCAGATAACTGAGGTCTTGGTTTGAAAATTTTCATGGTCTTTGAGGCAGAAGGGAGTATAGGTAAGGGTGGAAATTGTACTTGGTAAAGGTGACACATTTCATAGAGGAATCATTTTGTGTAACTAGCATCAGTAGCAATTTATATGTGCCTTTAAGAAATCATTGTGTCTGCTGCTAATTTTTTCCCCTTCCTTCTGTCAGGTTCTTCAGACCAGATACCCCAGCCTCTTAACAGCAACTGAACACCTTCTTGACATTTACATCCAACTTACTGGAGACAAGCATCACTCTCAGAGTGATAGTTGTATTAGAAATGAACGGGTACCTGAGGATGTTCTAGAAGCCAGTAGACAAAACAATAGATTGAGCCTTGAGGGCAGAGAATTGTCTCTAAGGTACTAGACTAACCATTTTTTTGAATTAATATTTTAAGAACTTGACATCAAAGTGTTCTTAACAGATAAAAGTAACTTATAGAATTAAATATTCAGTATACTTTATGTTGTCAGCTCCCTTTTAGAGATCTATAGATTTTTAAAATAACGTTTTAGCTTTAAAAAATAACTTTTAGATGTGGTACATATATACAATGGAATAATTACTCAGCAACCAAAAAAGAGAAACACATGTCTTTCGCAGCAACTTGAATGGAGCTGGAAAAGATCATGCTTAGTGAGATAAGCCAGAAAGAGAAAGAAAAATACCAGATGGTTTCACTCATAGCAGGAGTATAATGGACCAGGAGAGAAAATAACAAAAATAATGAACAACCATATACCAGAGACATTTTGAGGGGGTGGAGTGGGGAATGGGATCAAAAACGGGGGGGAGGAGGGGAGAAATGCACGGGATTATGGTGATGGCACACGGGTGACTTGGTGATGGGAAACCGCGGGGATTACAATCGAGATGGAAAAAAAAATGTACAAAATGATGTAAAAATAAACTTTTGTAATAAAAAAAATAACTTTTAAAGATACACTTGTAAATGGTTATATAATTCATTCTTTCATTGAATTGGAGGGGGGTGCTTAATATTCAGATTTTGCTACATATAGTAAGTTCTGTGGCTTTGTTCTCCTTTCTCAATGGTTGATTTTCCCTTTGAGAAGTGAGAAGTAGGAATTGGAATTCCCCACAGTTTTTTCTGGGAGTTACTTGCTCTTCCTCCTACTACTACCTTACCTGGTATGGATGCAGGGAATGCATGATAGATGATTTCTGGCAGTGAGAGTGGAACTAGGACTATTCACTTAGGATTTTTTTTTTTTTTTTTGGTCTTCCCATTGCCAGTAAATTGCAGAGTTGTAGTTGTCTGGTGTCCACAGAGTTAAGTGAGCCACATAAACTTGTACCTTTCATATTTTTGGCTTGTTGTCTTATTTCTTGGTTTTTATGTTTGTTTTTTAAGGGATCTATTGAATTGGTGTAATAGGATTGCTCACAGCTTTGATAGTCTGTCCTCATCCACATCATTGAACATTTTCCAAGAGGTAAGGTAGTCTTGCTTTTTCAGTGTTCTCATAAGCTGTTGATTAATCTTATTTTTTTGTCTCTACTTCTTTCAGAGTTTTTCTTTTATGTAGGTACTGTTTACTATTCTTTGGTATTTAAGTGAGTTAATGTTGGCTTAAATCTAATTAGGTATAATAGTTCTTGTTTTGTGGTTGTTAAGAAGTTACTACTCAAATCAAAAGAAGTATAATTTTAAGTAGTGTAAAACAGATACTGATTAGAGGTAAAATAAAAAAAGCTCCCAGCTGATTATAAAGCATCGTGAAGTGTTTCTATTATGTGTAGTATTTTTTCCTGTATATAATTTCTTAGTCTGTTTGAAAGATTGGTATTTGTCTGATCCCTTTACAAGGGTCAGTTGAGTTTTTTAACTTTTGTTCATGGAAACTAGTGTGGTATGAAATGTAACTGTATGCTTTTTTTGAAAAAATGTTTTACACAGGAGGGAAATTCTGTTTAGTCACAGTTCTGCCGTAGTCAATAAAAATGGAAAGAGATTGCTTCCACCTACTTAGAAAAAAAGTGGTCCTCTCTGAAGGTCTATTAGGTTCTTAAAACATTGACCAATTTGATTATAAAGTTTTGAGGTTTGCTGGGAGGTCAAAGTTGTGGCTTTTGTCGGCTGGGACTGAGGAGACTGTTGTACCCAATTTTATTTGTAGTATCTTTTTGTGTTTGGTAGTTATTTTGAGTAGAAAGAAATCTTATTTGGAGTGCATAGTTAAACCTAGCTGAAATCTGAAATCTTATGCGCAGGCACTATATTCTTGTTTTTCATTCTCCAGTGAACTCTCCTCCTACATTTTATCTTCCTTATATTTAACCTTGTTTTGTTCATTAAAAACAATACTTTGTTATTGATAGGATTCCTTTTACCTTTTAATACTAATGATTCATTTTATTTATTTATGCATGTAAGAGCTAGGGTATAGGCTAGAGGTGTGGGGAGTGAGAGGTTTCACCTGAGACAGCGGGGATCAGAACAGACAGATTAGTTGAAATAACTTGCTGTCAGGAGCAGCAGGTGAGACAGTAGAGGTCTGCTGCACCATCTGGGTTAGCTCCCTGGCTGGGAATCAAACTTGTGCTGCAGTGACTGCAGATAGCTTCCTAGTGCTAACACGTAATGCCTGTGCCACCAGGGAAGATCCATGTGTGAGTATTTTACTAATACAGAAATGTTTGCAAAATGGGAAAATACAGAAATATAGACAAAACTTTGTTGGAGAGGTAAGTCTAGAGATGAAGCTTTTGACTTTGTTGCCTTGATACCAAATGGTGGCCTGCAATTTAATCCAATTCTGATACAGATTACCAGGAGTACAGTAGCTCCAAAGGTTCAAGGGCTCTGCCCTTCAGAAGACACTTCCATTGACTATGGCTGCAGATGTCAGGGGACACCTAGTCTTGGAACCTACTAGCTGAAAATTCACAGCTTCCCATGATTTCTTCAGGTTCAGTAATCAATTCATGAAACTTATTGAAAGTACCATACTTATGGCATAGGTTATATTTTTTTTTCTAAAAGATATAATTCAAGAACAATCAAATGGAAGATGCAAATAGGACAAGTTTTGGGAGGATCCTAAAAACAAGAGCTTCTGTATCTGTGTAGTGAGAGCATGCCATCTTCCTGGTAGGTGATGAACCAGGAAGCTCTCCAAGTTCTGGATGTCTGGTATTTTATTTAGCTTTTATGTCTTTGGCCACTTGATTGAACTCACACTCTAGCTTTTCTTCCCTCCCTAGAGTTTGAGGCTTACCTGAAAGTCTCAACACTATTTTGTGCCTAATCTTTCTGCCTTGATCTGCCCACTTTGAAGCTAGTTAGTGACTTCAGTTGCATTAAAACTGTTGTGGCCCATAGGGGCTCATGTGAGTAACAAAAGACTTTCTTTACTGAGTAATTCCTAGAAGCTTTGAAAATGGCAGGTAATAGTGGACAAAGGTATCGGATAAATTGATAAATTCTTGTGTGTTTTTTTATATGCTTGCTTGATGGTTGTTGCTACATTACAGTTGGTGGAGAATTATTATATATTTTTTGCTTAAAACACGCGTTATGTCCTTTCCCTTGTTACTTTGGCTTGTATTTTCTTGTACAAAGTTTAACAAAATGTTTAATGTATTCAAAATTCAGTGTTTTTGGAGGGTATAGTGTATGGTGATGATGTCTTACATTTCATTAGACATATCTGGGTATGGATACTTGTGGTTAGTTGTGGTGATTGGGTATTGAAGTAGCATAATGACAGTGTGATCCCTCTTGCACACCGGGAATTCCCCTTTACAGTTAAAAGTAATTTTTTACTATATGAGACTCAGTTCCCCCATGAACCATATGCCTTATGATTAGCACTAATGGCTATTTTTGGCAAATCTAGGATTTACAAAATGGTTTTCCTCCCTAATTTAGCCAATTTGGGGTTGTAAAATCCTCAATTGTTTGTGTCCTCTTCTCTACGATAAGGTTCCTTGGTTTAGTGTTGCATTTTTATTTGCATTCTTACAGAAATGTTCCTGATGGGTTTTATATTCTTCCTTCATGGTGATGCTCTATTATTAATATATTATTTTTTAAAAAATCTGTCAGTATTTACCTTGTTTATTTTGATAGGCTTTGGACTGTTTCACAGCAATGCTTTCTAAGCATGCACGTAAACTAAAAATGGCAGAAATCATTGGAAGCAAGTTGAACATTTCCCAGAAAAAGGTATGTAGTACTCTTTCTGTTAAAAGAAGACTGGTTTCTGGTCTTAACTTTTGAAATACTGACTGCCTAAGTATCGAAGTTGGTAGTTTAATTGCTATCTTTCTCAGACATAAAAACATTCACTGTCTCCTAGATTAATAGTTTTCCACGTGCTTCATATCCTTTAAATGTGCTTCTATGTGTCCTGTTTCATATGCATTATCCAGTATTTTAATAAAGCAGATATTCTTTAGATTATAAACTCAGGATTAGAACTGTGCAGAAAGCTTAAAAGAAAAGTACCAATGAATACTTGTTTATTCACCACTAGGCTCATGGCCGACATTGTTAATAATTTGCCTTTTTTTTTTAAATTTAATTTTTTTATTTTTTTGCACAGGAGAGCAAAGGCCAAAGGTGTGAGAGGTGAGAGGATTTACCAGAGACAGAATGGGGAAAAGGACAGGCAGATTTTACTGAAATTTTTTTATTGCTAAGGGGAGCAGTGGGCAAGACAGGAGAGATCTGCTATGTCACATATGGGTAGTTCCCTGACCAGGGATTGAACTGAAGCCATAGCAATGATAGCACTGAGACTTGACGTATAACCCACAAAGGAGACCCTTTGTCAGTCTTTATATTGATACATATATTTTTGTAGAAGAGAACATTTTAGTAGTGGAGTTGGTAGCTAGAGAATTGCCTGAGTTCAACTTCATACATTCCAATATTAATGCCTTTGTTAGGAATTGAAATAGCAGGAGTGTTCTTCAGGCTTCTGAAACTGTTGGGCTGGATTTGGCTGCAGGTAACAGAGCACACTATTAAAAGAAGCCCTGGGCCCTTCCTCATAGCACAGTGGGTTAAAAGTACAGCACTATGAAACTATCCGAAGCCACTGCTGCACAAGTTCGATCCCCAGCCAGGGAGGTGGCACATGGGGCGACAGACCTCTCCTCACTGCTCCCCTCAGCAGTGTATTTCAGCTAATCTGCCTGTTCTGCTCCCTACTCTGTCTCTGGTGAATCTTCTCACCCCTGCACCTCTGATTTGTGCCCCATTATTTGTATGCATAAATAAATCTTGGGGGAAAAAAGTCATAATTTGCCTACCTTGAAGTAGGAAGTACACCTTAGGAATGGGTTAATTACAGGGGCATAGGAAGTCTTTATGTAATGAACTGTTTGAGGAGACTACAGGATTTTTAAAATATTTTTTCTTTTTAAAGATTTTATTTATGAATACGAACAGGACAGAAGTGCAGGGGGTGAGAGGATTTACTAGGGACAGAGTGGGGAGCAGAACAGGCGGATCTACTGAAATACACTGCTGAGGGCTGCAGTGGGTGGATCAGGAGGTCTGCCACGTCATGTTGGTCACCTTTCTGTCTGGGGAATTGAACTTGTGCTGCATTGTCTTCGGATAGTTTCATAGTGCTGCACATTAACCCATTGCCCCACCAGGAAGGGCCCAGAGATTACAGGATTTTATGTGGATAATCTTTCCCTCCCATAGGTTGAGTTCTTCTGTCAACTTTATAAACCAGAAATTGTAATCAATGAACTAGATGTGCAAGTGGGTCGAGTACGTCTTCTACGGAAACAAAGTGAGGCTGTTCACATACAGAGGTAAGAAAGGTTCTTATGTCAATTGAGCAACGTGGAACTGTTGGGAACTGGATGGAAGATCTGGTCCAACCCCTCATCATCGTTGAACAAAATGTATGTCTAAACTGTGAATCTCCAGTGTGTTGAGTGTAAGGAGCAATGTCTTTCCAGTGCTTTAAGAAAACAGATGTTCAAGATAAAAAAGAAAATAGATGTTATATGTGGAGATGGTGATGGGGATCTTTACAACTTGGGACCAACGAAAGTTACTTTCTGGATTTTACTCGCCATAGTTATTTAATAAATGGAGCCTCACTTGGAAGTCAGGCTGTGACCTAATGTTGATCTGTTATTTCCTGAAGGCTGGGATTGTAAAAGCTTCTGTGATCTAATTACCACTTATTAAATATCTACTACATGCCTATCATTTTGTGAATATTTTGATCGTTTTCTCTCGTGAGGTAGTTATGATAGTCCTATGAACTACTTTATTAGTGTCCAGGGGCAATCCTAACAAATTATCTTAATACACTTGACAACTTAAAACAGCAGATATTTATTCTGTCATCATTCTGGAGGTTGAGCTAAAATCAAATTGCTGATAGGACCATGTTCCCTCTGAACTCCCATCTTGTCAGTGGATCAAGCTAATCTCCTGTACGCATCCTCTAGAACCATCCTGCCTTTGTGTGACATTCAACTTCTTCCTCCTTATGAGGATACCGGTGATTGGATTTAATACCCACCCTTATCCATTGTGAATATGACTTTAATTATATCTGTAAAGACTGTTATTTAAAAGAAATTGCATTTACAGGTTCTACAGGGACATGGATTTTTGGAGTAGACTATTCAACCTGCTATAATTAGTAGCAATTTATATTATTAAATTTTATAGGTGAAGAAAACAGATTTAGTAACCTGTCTAAGATGACACACCTAAAAGAGACATTGTCTTATCTTTACTGGTATTTTTGGTCTCTAGAGCCTAGTTAAATACCCAGTATTTGTAGAGTGAATTAATTTTGCAGCTCTTATGTTGTAAGTATTTCTCACTTTTGTTTACGTCTGGAAAATCTGGTTTTCTCCAGCACGCATTTCTAACCACCTTTTCTCCAACCCAGGGAGCAGTTCACTTTTGCTGCTACTAGGCCATCCTCTGTTCTTATTGAACAGCTTGCAGTGTGTGTCAGCAATGGGGAGCCAGTGTTGCTCGTGGGAGAGACTGGGACTGGCAAAACGTCTACTGTGCAGTACTTGGCTCACATTACAGGTAATTCCTACAGGAAAATCACTCTGCCCCTAGAAAATGAACATCTCATACCACCTGCTACACCCCTTTTGAAAATTAGCAGTATAGAAAGGACTGCAGTTGAAAAAAGTGCCACTATTCTACTTACCCTGGAAATAACTTCTGGCGTTCTTACCCTTAAAAATAATATAGTTTCTTGTCCTGGAAATAATGCTCATTAACAGACCAGTAGTTTCTTTTTCCCTTTTTTCAGATTTATTTATTTATGCATATAAGAACTGGAGTATAGTCCAGAAGTGCAGGGCGTGAGAAGGTTCACCTGAGACAGAGTGGGGAACAGAACAAGCAGATCAACTGAAATACACTGCTGAGGGGAGCGGTGGGCGGGTCAGGAGAGGCCTGCCACGCCATGTGGGTCATCTCCCTGGCTGGGGATTGAACTTAATCTTTAGTGGCTGGCGATAGTTTGATAGTGCTGAGACTTAACGCCTATGCCATAGGGAGGCCCCAGACTGATAATTTCCCAAGCTATGTTCTGCTAATACTCATCTATAAATTTTGTTTTGTTTTGAAGCAAATGGGTTATACACTACTAGTTGCGTATAGTAGGGCAGTTAGGCAGCTTTACAAGCAACCACCTGATGCCCCTTCTAATATAGTGGTATAACACACCACACTGAGTATATTTTAGTTCTAATTTGGAGATATTGGCTTAAAGGTTTTTTTTAAATTATTGATTTCAGTTATGTGATGCTTTAACAAATTATAATGAATAATTTTGTACATTGCTCTCTGTTATTTGAAGTTTGAGTGTAAAGATTACTGAAAGTAAAAGGGGATCAGAACATTGAAAAACTTGTCGTATACTTTTGTTTGCACATTTTTAAGGATCACACTGAAGATTATCAGTCTTTAAATTTTTGGAATCATCCTTGCCATTTCTTCTTTTAAAAGGTCATCGTTTGCGAGTTGTTAATATGAATCAACAAAGTGATACCGCAGACTTGCTTGGAGGGTAAGTGTGGTCTTCAGTTTTGTTGAAGACTTCAATACATACATATTTTTCAATAGTAGTTAATTTTTACATCATTTTGTACCTTTTTCCATCTCAGTTGTAGTCCCCGTGGGCTTCCCACTACCAGTTCACCTGTGTGCAATCATCATAGTCCAGTGCACTTACTCCTAACCCCTGCCATTTTTTATCTCATTCCCCACTCCACCCCCGTAAAATGTCTCTGGTATATAGTTGTTCATTCCCCCACTCCCACCCAACCACCCCCCGGTCCTTTATACTCCTGATATGAAACCATCCAGTATTTTTTCTTTTTCTTTCTGGCTTATTTCACTAAACATGATCCCTTCCAGCTCCATCCATGTTGCTGCAAAAGGATGTGTTTATCTTTTTTTGATTGCTGAGTAATATTCCACTGGGCATATGTACCACATCTTTTTAATCCAGTCATCTATTTTTGGGCATTTGGGTTGATTCCATTTCTTTCCTGTTGTAAGTAAAGCAGTGATAAACATGGGGGTGCAGGTGTGAAGTCTTCAATTTTTGTTGAAAGTGACCCATTTTGTTTTGACTGCTTGGGGTAAGAAATTCTATTTAATAACACTCAAATAGTTTTAAAAATAAGTACAAAGCTATAAATGCCTCCACTCCCCTACCAGGGTAGTTATTGGAGACATCTGGATGTGTAGATATTTCTTTTCATTTAAAGAATGTTTGATACCTAATATTTATGTAGAAGTCATTGATCTAAAGCATACATTGTGGAATAAAACCCTTCAATTCAAGCTAAACTTTCCTGTAATTCCATGATCTCTGAAACATGTAGAGTGAATGTCAGCTTTCTAGTTGCTTAAATTTTGCTCATGGGATTCTTATTGTGGTCTTTGTGCTGGTGCACATTACATTGAGCTATAGTGGCTTCTGGGCCATGAACTCTGAGCACTTGCTCAAAAATCCCTTCCAGGCAGAAAATAATAGAATTTATTGTGCCTTTTGCCCTTTATGAATCTGTTAGAAAGTGATTCATTCATCTCTTTCTTTGAGGGCCACATTATGCTGTAGCAGTATTTTAATTTTCAGTCTCTTTATATTTTTTCCCACTCCAGGAAGTATACTCCTTTGGAATTCTTCTTTATCTGGTTACCTTTACTTTTCTTATTCTCCCTTCCCAGTACCAATTTTTTGCTTTTCACATATCACTACCTACCTACTTAATAATAAGTTTAAAAAGGCTTAAATTTATTTTATGTCTTAAGATCTGTTAGCTGAATTTTAATCCTTATTGCACTTCTATACTCACTTTATTTTTCCACAATGAAATTTCTACTTTTGTTCAGTTAAATTGATATTTAATCTCTACAATGTCCCATTGAGGTACTTTGCAATTATTTTTTAAAGATTGATTTATTTATTCATACAGAACTAGGGTACAAGCCAGAAGTGCAGGGGCGGTGAGAGGATTCCCCAGGGACAGAGTAGGGAACAGAACAGGCAGATCGACCAAGTACACTCCTGAGGGAAGCAGTGGGCTGGTCAGGAGAGGTCTGCCACGCCATGCGGTCGCCTCCAGGTTGGGGGATCAAACTCATAGTGAAGTGGCTGCGGCCAGCTTACAGTGCTGTGTCCTAACCTGTTGCACCACCAGGGAGGGCTAGCAATGTGTTTTTACTAATATTTGGAATTTGTTGTTTAATAGGCATGTCTATGTTACTGGGTATTTTTCTTTTTTGCACTTATATATGTCTTCATATCCTTAAGTATTTCTAACACAATTGCCATCACAATTGAACATGGACTGTGTTGTCTCTTCTAATTATAGGTGATTTCATGTCAGCCATTTTAAGTAGTTTTAAATGTAGGAGTTTATAGAACATGCTTGTGCCTGAATATAATTGATAATATAAACAAATGCAGTGTGAATATGATTACAAGAATTTTTTTGACAAATTGGTGAAAAAAACATAACATTTTTTAATTTAATTTTTTTTAAATTTGTCTATGCATACAGAACGAGGGTACAGGCCAGAAATGCAGGGGGTGAAAGGATTCACCAGAGACAGAGTGGGGAGCAGATGGACTGAAATATACTGCTGAGGGCAGCTTTGGGCGGGTCAGGAGAGGTCTGCCATGCCATATGCACGTCACCTCCTTGGCTGGGGATTTAACTTGTGCTGCAGTGGCTGCAGTAGTTTCATAGTGCTGTCCTTGAATCCGTCAGGCCACCAGGGAGGGACCAGAACATATCTTTTTATTATTAGTATCAGTAAGCCTAGTTTTCTATCCCTTTGCGTTACTGGAAAGTGTTATGGGTTAAATCTTTCCAGTTGTAACATATAGTAGATACATGGATGACTACCTTAAAAATGCTGTGTGCAAGATGGAAAGAGTAAGACTCAGGAATAGGCATGGATATGGGATTGAAAAGGAGTAGTAGTGGTTAGTTTCATCTGTTTTATAGCTTACATTAAACATTTGTATGTGTCAAATATTATAAAAAATTTATAGACCTAATTTGGTTTGCAAATCTGATCCTTTAGGATTTTTTTTTTTTCCTTTAGGATTGTTTTTAAGGAAGTATTAAAATCAGTAGACTAGCAGGCCCTCCCTGGTGGCGCAGCAGGTTAAAGCACAGCACTAAGAAGCTTAAGCCACTTCCGCATGAGTTCGATCCCTGCCTGCCCCGGAGGAGATCCACATGGCGTGGCAGAACTCTCCTGACCCGCCCACTACTCCCCTCAGCAGTGTACTTCATTGATCTGCCTGTTCTGCTCCCTACTCTGTCCCTGGTGAATCCTCTCACCCTCCTCATCTCTGGCCTGTTCCCCAGTTCTGTATGAATAAATAAATAAATCTTAAAAAAAAAAAAAATCAGTAGACTAAAACCTTCAAAAGTGAGTAAATAGTAACTCATGATTTCTCCAATGTTCTTGACTGATCTGAAGTGTTTTTGAATCACTTTAGCTTTCAACTGAAATTATTGGCCTTAAAAATAATTGTATCCGTTTTAGTACTTGGTATCTTAGGATACTAAAAACTATATACTGTAAAGTTTACAGCAATATTTTATGCTCTTTGGGCAACTAATGTTTACCTCCACTAATCCATTTTCTAATTTCCCAACCAGAGAAAGTAAACACTAAAGAACAAGATAATCTAAATGCAAGAAGTAAAAAAATATTGAGCTTTGGAGGGCCTGAATTGTTGCAGTGATTTAAGAATGCCACTCTCCCCCTAGTTTTTATCCACTTGATAACATTACCCCACTCCTGTTCTACCTTTGAGAAGACATTGAGTTCACTGACACTTAAGTGTTCTTTCTTTTATAATATTCTGAAATCTTTTAGGTTGATTTGAATAAAACATAGTTCGTCATTAAAGTCTTACATAATGTTAAACATGTCATTAAAAAAATGACATACTTTTTTACTGCCTAAATGGAAATTTAAAACTTTTTCTTAGTTACCTATTTTAGTTGTTACTTTTAGGTCCTTCAAACACTTGGGATGGAGAATATAGGCTGTAATTTAAAACTTTTAACATAGATTTAATTTTTTTTGAGCACTTATTTATGTATACAGGAGCTGGGTTGTAGGCTGCAGGTTGTGGCAGTAGATTAAAGGATTCATCAGAGACAGAATGGGGAGATAATAGGCAGATTGATTAAATACACTTCTGAGGTGAGTAGTGGATGATACAGGAGAGCTATATGTACCTTGTGGGTCAGCTCCCTGGCTGGGAATTGAACTTCTGCTGTAGTGGTTGGGAACTGTTTCATAGTGCTGAGACTTAACCCCTTGCACTACCAGGGAGGCCCAATTTAAATTATTTCCACAGTATTTCTGATTTTCAGTGGAAGCCTATACTTAATTCTGAGTTTGCTTTCTAATCTTTACTACCTTCAAAGGTTTATGAATCACATTGACCTTTTGTTGCAGTTACAAACCAGTGGACCACAAACTTATTTGGCGACCCCTCCGAGAGGCATTTGAAGAACTCTTTGCCCAGACATTTTCCAAGAAACAAAATTTTACCTTCTTGGGTCACATTCAGACCTGTTATAGGCAGAAACGGTGGCATGATCTCCTTAGACTAATGCAGCATGTGCACAAGTCGGCTGTTAACAAGGGTGAAAAAGACAATGAAACTGGTAAGAATACAACCAGAGAGAGGAATTTTTCCTCAAGGTCTGTGAGGTTGGATTTCAGCAGAATTAGAAGTATTTGGGGGAACAATGAAACATTACAAATTGGAGCTTTATAATAGGCCAGAAGGCAATGGTGATAACTAGTCTTAAAATGCTGCTATTTCTGTAATTCTTGGTATGATTTCCATAAAAATCAGTTGATAATGTTCATGTCCAAATGCCACTTAGGCACAGTAAGTCACATTTCCCTTGAAAAAGAGCTTACAGTAAATCCTCACTTATGGTTGCCAGTAGTTTCTTGTAAACAACAACTTGTGCAAAATGATGGAAAAATCAGGTCCTCAAAGAGCATCATTCCTTATTGGCTAGGTGTTTTTTCTCATCAAAATGATAATGAAATAACATTATTTGAGGACCTGTTGTATTTGCAAAAATCCAGACTTAATACAGCCAAGTGGCTTTTGGTAGCTTTTTTAATATCTCTGTGTTCCCTCATATACAAAATGGAAATAAGAGTACTTACAGTTCAAGAGTTGTTTTAAAGGGTAAATGAGTAAACCATTGCACACATAGGAAAATAAATGATTTGTTTAATGGCTAACTAATAGTTAGCATATGTAACTCTTTGGACTTATATACACTTCTCTTGCAGATCTTTTGATTTTTGTGTATTTGGTTAATTATATATTTTTTAATGTGCTTAATTTTTTACACAACAGCTCAAAATGTGTTAAGTTCTGTCTTTTTTTTTTTTTTTCTAGGTTTACTCCTAAAAGAGAAATGGGAAGCACTTGGTCTTAGGCTTAGTCATGCTCAACAACAGATGAAAATGACTGAAAATGCCCTTCTGTTTGCATTTGTAGAGGTATTTACTTTTTGGGTTAAGGAAATGTTCAGTTCATAAAAAATGAAAGTGTATATTCTCTTCATGTTCATGTTTTTACTGTTTGCTTTCTCCGTATGCCTTAAACAATGAAGTAATATTTTGGGGAGAAGATTTTGAAAAATGAGCTTTATGGAAATTGTAAGATCTTGATGCAGATTCTCATTTTTAAATACACAGCTGAGAGACAACTGGTGAACTCTATTGTTTATGGATCTCTGTGTGTGAATGAGTGAGTGATTGAAGTGAGAGAGTGCATGTGAGTGAGAGAGACAGTACTAGAGATGATTATTTTTTAAATCACTATAATGTCAAGTATGCTCAAAAAGGAGTTTGTATTTCATGACTGTCATTGCACTTCAGTTTAATATTTAATACATTTGTTATTTTATTTTTTACAATTAAACTTATTCTTTGTTAGGCTATACATGGAAACAAAAGTATAGAGCCTTTTAATAAAATAATTCAATTTTTGATGATGTCAGCCAATTGGTTTGTAGGATATTTTTGACTACTGTTGGCAAAAGAACTTGAAGATATAAAATCATTGACTAGAACTGAGGAAAGATTCATTTCGATATTCTTTAACAACTGTAGGAGTGCAGGCATAAAACCACAGCACACTTTTCTTTTTTTTAAAGATTTATTCTTGTATACAGGAGCTGTGGTTTAGGCCAGAAGTGTGGGGATGGAACATAGTAAGAGGATTCATCAGAGACAGTGCAGAGCAGGACATGCAGATCTACTGAAATACACTGCTGAGGAGAGCCATGGGCAACACAGTGACTCAGCTTCCTGGCCAGGGATGGAATTCATGGTGAAGTAGCTGCGGAAGGCTTCACAGTGCTGAGACATAGTCCCCTTGTGCCACCAGGGAGGGCCTTTAGCACACTATTGATTGAATTTTATACATTAGACTGCTTGTGGTCTGATCCCACTTTGGGTGCTCTAATAATCCCTTTAAACACCTGAATACATTGTAAGTTATCTTTTACTTCACCATCCATATGATAAGATGTATGTAGTTTGATGCAGCTCACTGTTTGGTTCAAAGATACTCCTTTCATCCTTACTGATCAAGTGGGAGAGGTTTTCCTTTGCATCTTTTTCTAACCGTGCCTGCGTAATTGCACTTGATTCATCTTTATTGAAAAGGATTCTTAACTTTTTGTTTTCCTCTGTCTTCTTCTAGGGTACATTAGCTCAGGCTGTAAAGAAAGGAGAATGGATCTTGTTGGATGAGATTAATCTGGCTGCTCCAGAGACATTAGAATGTCTGAGTGGTTTACTTGAAGGATCCTCTGGCTCCCTAGTATTACTGGATCGAGGAGACACAGGTAGCACTTGATCACCGAGAGCTTTGACTTGGCACCAGGCACTTTGAGTTCTTTAGAGTGCGGTTCTTTTGGTTAATTGTACTGTATGGGATTTCCAGTGAAGACGTGATACCTTAAAGTGTGAATCATACAGTGTTGTAAACTAAGTTACCAATGTTTATTCCTTAGATTTAAATTTTCTGCTAAGCCATGTTGCTTTGTATGATGAATACAAACAAGAATAAGACAATTTGTCAAGTCAGTTGAGTATGTGGGACATACACTCTTATTTACAAAATAAGTGGTAAATTAGATGATGAAAGATAAATAACACTGAACAACCTTCCCATAAAAAGTCAGAAGAGCATATTTAGAGTAAATGATATACCTAGGTTTGGAAACTTTTTAGTGGGGTGTGTGAACAGGCAGCGATGGATTCAGTGACCAACATCATCTTTTCTAAGCCTGAGACAAGGTTGCTTAGCCTAAAATTCTGTGGCAGTAGATAGTATTATTTTGGGGGCTTGAGACTGATCATTTGATTGTTATAAGGTGTTGAGAATTTATAATTTTTTCTTGATAGAACCACTGGCTCGTCATCCTGATTTTCGTTTATTTGCTTGTATGAATCCAGCAACTGATGTGGGCAAAAAAAATCTCCCACCAGGAATAAGAAACAGGTGAGAGAGACTGACTATAAAACTGAGGCTAACAGAGGGGGAGAGTTAGGAGGGTGAAGAGGGAAGTGGTAAGGTACCCAGTTGTCTATTCTGGAAGACTGGGTCCCTTGGTGGTGGGTGTGTTAGTATATACCTAAAGAGGTAGGAGCTTACTTTTTTTTTGTTTTTTTTTTTAAAGATTTATTTATTTATGCATGCAGAACTGGGGTACAGGCTAGAAGTGCAGGGGCAGTGAGAGGATTTACCAGGGACAGAGTTGGGAGCAAAATAGGCATATATCATCAAAGTACACTGCTGAAGGGAGCAGTGGGCAGGTCAGGAGAGGTCTGCCTTGCCATGAAGATCACCTCTGGAGCGAGGATCCAAATCATGCTGAAGCGGCTTTAGCTTCTTAGTGCTGTGCTTTAACCCACTCTGTCACTAGGTAGGGCCCTGGATCTTAGTTTTAAAATAGTTAAAAATATTAAAGACTGTGAGAAAAATTTTAGGGGTTGTATTAAAGTAATAATTTTCCTTGGGATCAAAAATATTTGAAAATGAGGATTAAAGGTATTACTTTTCTAGCTACTTTTTGCAAGAAACATTCAGGAGATTTACAACAAAAGGAGATTTCATTGCAGAAAAGTAAAAAGGTAGAGTTTTTGTTAACAGCTATGGTATCTTCCATTTTGTTATGATCAGTTTGTATCTCCAGTTGAAAGTCGTTTTGTTTTGTTTTAAAAATTTTATTTATTTATGCATACAAGAGCTGGGGTACAGGCTAGAGATGCAGGGAGTTTGTGAGAGGATTTACCAGAGACAGTGGAGAGCAGAACATGCAGATTTATTGAAGTACATTGCTGTGCCATGTGGATCAGCTTCCTGGCTGGTGACCAAACTTGTGCTGCAGTGACTGTGATAGCTTCATAGTGATGCATCTTACTCCCTTACACCACCAGGCAGGCTCACACCACCCCTCAAGTTGAAAGGCTTTTATATTTTATTCCAAAGAAAGTAAAATGAATTCACATACTGTATCTGTTCTATATTTTCATTGTCAGAATAGCCGTTTTAATTTCTTTAAAAATGATTTTGTACAATAATTTTCTTATAGGTTTACAGAACTTTATGTAGAAGAATTGGAAAATAAAGAAGACTTACAAATTCTCATTGATGATTATCTAAGAGGGTTGAGTGTGAACAAGACCACAGTACAAGGAATCATAAAGTAAGTCATCTGAATGTACTTGTGTGCTTCATGTATTTTTTTTTTCAATTTTCTATTTTGTTTCTGAGTAGGGAAGAGTATTTTTTTTGTTGTTTTTTTAATTATTACAAAAGTTTATTTTTACATCATTTTGCACATTTTTTTTTCAATCACGATTGTAATCCCTGTGGGTTTCCCATCACCAAATCACCCGTGTGCCACCACCACAGTCCCGTGCATTTCCCTCCCTCCCCCCCACCCCCGTTTTTGATCCCATTCCCCACTCCACCCCCACAAAATGTCTCTGGTACATGGTTGTTCATTATTTTTGTTATTTTCTCGCCTGGTCCATTATACTCCTGCTATGAGTGAAACCATCCGGTAGTTTTCTTTCTCTTCTGGCTTATCTCACTAAGCATGATCTTTTCCAGCTCCATCCAAGTTGCTGCAAAAGACATGTGTTTCTCTGGGAAGAGTACTTTTTAACTTCTTTTTTAAATTTGTAAACTTACTAACTGCCTTGTATTTTTCTGGGTAAATTACATAGAAAACTAGATCACTGCTTATAAGAATATATAAATAATTAGGATTATGTAAATAATTATGCTCCTATAATTCTGTGTTTATAGATAAAAGCTCTAATTTCTGGTGAAGTAGATGGCTTATATTGCAATATTGAAGTCTTTGTAATCTGAACACGAGCAGTGTGGGATGAAATTGATAGAAATGATCATGTCAGTGTTATTAATACAGCTTCATTGAATAAAGTACAGGGGTGTGTTTCTTTGAGTGTCTTTCCTCTGTTTTTGTGTGTGTGTGCCATGTAGAAGGGGTGTAGTCTTTTGTATCAGAGAACCTAAATTCTAGTACTGACTCTGACAGAAACAAATACTTTCCCTCTGGAAACATCACTGAGTTAATTTTCTTGTATCCTCTAGAAAGAAGTATAGAATGTGTGAAGCTTTCAAAACAGGATCGTATTAATGTTTTACTTTGTATTTTGTGGGTTGCCTGTGTGTGTGTGTGTGTGTGTGCGCACACACACACACGTACACATGTATGTATGCATGCATGCATATGTGTGTATACATATATGTGTGTATGCTAACGATAGACAAAAAATCTTCTCATGATGCTTATTGTAGACGTGATGGAATACCAATAAACAATAATTACTTTTTTTTTTTAATTTTATTTATTTATTTGTACAGAACTGGGGTACAGGCTAGAGATGCGGAGGGTGAGAGGATTCACCAGACAGGGGTGCAGAACAGGAAGATCGATGAAGTACACTGCTGAGGGGAGCAGCGGGTGGGTCAGGAGAGGTCTGCCTGGCCAACTATTATTAACAATAGATAGTATTATTTTCATGTGCGATGAGTGAAGGAAAATAAGCAGTCAAATCAAGGTTAGATAATAAAAGCTTGAAGACTTTTTTTTTTTTTTAAGATTTTTAATTGTGTATTGAAGAACTGGAGTGTAGGGCAGAGGTGCAGGGGTGAAGGGTAAGAGGATTCACAGAGAGGGGAGTACAGCAGGTGGATTTACCGAATACACTGCTAAGGGGAGCAATGGGCAAAGAGAGATAGGCTGCGCCATAGATGGGCCAGCTCCCTGACCTGGGATTGAGCTGAAACCATAGTAGTGATAGTGCTAAAACTTAACCTTAGACCACTAAGGAGGCCCTTTGGAGTCCTGTTTTATTTATTTTCTAAAGATTTGTTTTATTCATTTATGCATACAAGAAATGGGGTGTAGGTTAGTAGTACTTGGGGGTGAGAGGATTAATCAGAGAGAGTGGGGGTCAGAAAAGGCAGATATACTGAGAAAAACTGCCAATGAGAGCAGCAGGCAAGACAGGAGATGTCTGCTACACCACATGTAAGTTAGTTCCCTGGCAAGGGAACAAGCGCAGGCCAAGTCTAGGTGATAGCACTGAGACAACCCTTTTTGCCACCATGAAGGCCCTGAATTCCTGTTTTAAATAGACTAGCAAAGGAGATATTTATCAAAATGCATTGGAATGGTTATCACACCACATTCTAAATTTGGAAGATTATTTTTTTAAAGGTTTGTTTATTTATGCATACAGAACTGGGGTACAGGCCCAGAGGTGGTAAGAGGATTCACCAAAGACAGAGTGGGGAGCAGCACAAGCCAATTGATGAAGTACACTGCTGACAGGAGCAGCGGATGGGTCAAGAGAGATCTGCCGTGCTGTGTGGATCACCTTCCTTCCCAGGGATCAAACTTGTACTGCAGTGGCTGCAGATAACTTCACAGTGCTGTGCACACCTGCTGCACCACCAGGCAGGACCAATTTGGAAGACTTTTTGTTAACCAATAATGTTTGAGAAACAGCTTAAATATATACAGTTAAAATGCAGATGAAGATGTAGCATTAGAGTTATAGAAAGATTATTGAAAAAATGTTAATGCAAAGTTGTGTACATTCTTTATCTAAAATTCTACTTTGGGAATGTAGATTTATAAAAAGAATGTGGCTAGATTATAAAGAAGGAGGCTATGTCTTATTTGGTTAAAAATTTGGAATTACACATACTTAGTTTTACTTGATTGTGTAGTAATTAATCACAAATTTTACAAACATTTGAGTTTCTTGAAATTCTTATTTCAGACTGAAGCTTCTTCCCTCCTTATATTCTAGACTACTAAAGTATATGGCAATGATAATCATATCTTCATGCCCTTTAACATTGTTATAGTTTTACCATAGCCTTTCAAAACACCATAACTTTTGTTTTCTATGTACTTATTAATCACTATTAAAGATTGCCCAAGAATTTCATTTACCCATCAAGTTACAGCCAACTCTGGAACACTTCATTTGAATGTGGTATATTCTTGCAAAGGCCCCTCAAATCTTAATTGACTTTTTCTTAAGAACCAGAAGGTTCTCATCTTTCCATCAGTACTTTTTTGATACAGGAATTGGAACTTGAATTTCATAATCGCTTTAATACTTGATTCCTCATTTTCTTGTTTTGAAAGTAAATGTGTGTGTGTGTGTGAAACAATTTTTTTTTTTTTTTTAAATGTTTGGGCAGTTTTGATCAATGCTCAAGGAAATTGTATTTAACTTTTACCACCTTTCAAGTGCCTTTTCAGCTTCTGTAGAAAAATTGGAACAGTAACAAACTATCAGATATTAACTAGTTGATAAGATTGCCTGAACTGCACCCCCTTTATAGTTTTTATACAGCTGTGCGGAAAGAGTCTGGGACAAAACTGGTGGATGGGACTGGTCATAGACCACACTACAGCCTTCGGACGCTCTGCAGGGCCCTACGGTTTGCAGCCTCCAATCCATGTTCCAGCATCCAGCGCTCACTCTATGAGGTCTTTGTAAATTCTTTGTTTGGATGGGACCCTGCTGGGTGGACTCATCATAGGAAAAGAGGAGTAGGGATTCATATGCCGATTTTGCTTCTGCTTTCCATTTAGATAAGCCCACGGTTTTTCATACCAGATTACACTGCTGTGTTTTCTACTGTTGCATCACATTTAAAAGTTCTGGGAACCTGTATCACCCAGAAGGTTAATTTTGTTCCTGAAGATTTATTGATCACTCATTACTGAAGAATAAAAGTAGATTGCATATTTGTATTTTTCCCTAGGGCTTTTGTTTGGGTTTCTTAACACAACTTGACAGAGCATCACATCCAACAGTTCAGAAGCTCATTTGTCAACATATTGTCTCTGGCAGTATTAAAAGTCTGCTAAAGCAGGTATGTTCTTTTCATTTGTTTCTGACTTGTCTAGTATAAGCATAAGGCAGAATTAGCAAATTTTCGACTTTTGTTTTTTTAAGTTCTATTTATAAGAAAATAATCTCTTCCAGAAAATTTCAACATGGCAAAAGTTCCCAATATCTTAACTCTTTGGTGTCCTAAACCCTGTAGATAAGATCTTTCCATCTAAACTGTGTATGTGTGTTTTATTTTACTATATTCAAATTCTGATCTGTATAGGTAAATTACATGTACTTAATACAGATGGGACCATCTTAAAACACTATTCTGTAATTTCCTTATTAAGCCTAACTATATCTTACATATATTTTTGTGTATGTACCAGAGATTTCTGTGATATGCTTGATGATGGTCACGTAGCATTTTGTTGGATAATTGCATTATTTGTTGGATGATTCCCATCTCACTGATGGTTCAGTTTAAAATTATTTTTTTAGTATATAAACCAAGCATTTGAGTTTGACCAGAGGATATTATACATTAGATTGAAAGAAAGTGATTCACAAACTCATTTGCTGATGTGTTCATTGCTATTTAAGAAGAAAGAGCCACTGGGACTTAAGAGTTACTTTAGAGTCGATATTACTTTCCTTTTAAGAATTATAAAAGTAACAAATGAAAAATACTTCTGGTAAATTATAATATTGAAGTTTGATTATTATCCCTCTAGCATTCTCTTCTACTTGCTTATTTTGCCTCTCTGTATGTTCCTTATAGTTACATATTATGGAGGTCTAAAGGCATTTTCATACTGTTCATCAGTGCAGTTTAAGGATACAATAAAAGCAGTGTCAAGAATCATAGTTTCAAGTCTGGGCCAAAAATGTTCTTCTAAAAGAGTAGTTTTAACCATTGGTCATTTTTTTCTATAAAATGGGCAATTTTGTATGAGTCTACCCATTAACTTTCGCTATATCTTTCCATCCACAGTTTTAAATTAGTAGTTTAGCTTCTCTGGAGGGTCAGTTGTAGTATTTCTTAAGATTATAATAAGTCAAGAAGATAATAATTCAAAGCCTTCCTACCTTACATCACAATGTCCCTTTTGGGGAACCGTGTTATATATGAAATGTTCATTTTATGAAAAAAAAAAGTTTGTTTTCGATCAAAATATGTAAGGTTTTTGGTAGAAAAGAACTGGGTGGACTCATAACTATCTGAGAAATTATTTTGATTCAGCATTTCCTCTCAAACTTACTTTTACTAGAATTTAAAACCAACCATGCTACTATTTTGTCCTTATTTTCCAAAACCTTTTAATATATATGTCAGGGGTTTTAATGTTGAAAACATCCAGAACAGAGTAGTGTTCTTGATCATGACTTATTTTCCTACTTTATTATGCCCCTCTCTGAAAGAACTTCATATTTGTCATGGGATAGGTGATTTCTCTAAATGTTCCTTTCAGCCTATTCCAGAACCAAAAGGTGGTCGGCTTATCCAGGTTGAAGGCTATTGGATTTCAGTGGGAGACAAGGAACCTACAATAGATGAGACATACATTCTTACATCTTCTGTCAAGCTAAACCTAAGAGACATAGTCCGTGTGGTCTCTGCAGGGTATGTGGACCTTTTCTCTCACTGCTGTGAAGTTTTATCAGCATATAAGTGACTTTTTTTTTTAAATAAATTACTTTTTAATCTTAACTTCTTAACTTTCTATGTACTTTATTGTTACTCTCTGAGCAGCAGACAAAACAGGAGATGTCTGCTGCACCATATGGGTCATCTCCCTAGGTGGGGATTGAACTTGTACTGCAGTGACTATGTATTTCATATCACTTCATAGTGCTATGCTTTGACCCATTGCGCCACGAGGGAGGGGCCCTGAGGAGCTATTTTTACAAAGGAACCCCTCAGGATTTAAGAAACTAGTACCAGTTGTACTGTATAGATTTATTAAATTGTTACATTATATGGATGATAAATGATGAATTTATTGCTTTTTAAATGGCACTTGAATTGTGATTTCTGATTGTTTTGTTTTGTTTTGTTGTTTTATTGCTGATCTTAAGAACCTATCCAGTGCTGATTCAGGGAGAGACATCAGTTGGTAAAACAAGCCTAATACGGTGGCTGGCTGCAGCTACTGGCAACCACTGTGTGCGTATCAACAATCATGAACACACGGATATTCAGGAATACATTGGTTGCTACACATCCAACTCCTCAGGGAAGCTTGTTTTTAAAGAAGGTAGGTTATTTCATGTTGTAGGTATAGATTTTATTCCTTTAGATTCATTTCTTCAATTATTCTGTATCTTTTCCAGTTAAAGGGAGGTGATGGTTAAGGTTTCAGGTTCTTTTCTCAGTGCTAGTCTTGTCAGTGAATTATACATGATTGGGCCTAAGTTTTGAAGATTGATGTTAAATTACTACTTCATTTCTTAGATTCTCAAAAGAACAGGGTAAGCATGGGACAATAGCTATCAGAATAATATAAGAAATGTGATGTTTAAAATGAAATTAGACTAAAAGGAAAAAATAAATAAGCTTGGGAATACGGTATTTGTCAGCCTTGGCTCTTCTTCTGTGGGAGATAAAAGGGGACATATTAGTTGGAAATTGTGCTTCTTGACATTCAGCATCACAAACTATTTTGGGGCAAGACTCACTACAGAGATTACTTTGAAATTGTTTATTGATTATATACAGCATTGTCTTTTTTTCTTAAGATTTTATTTATTTTGCATACAGAACTAGGGTACAGGTCAGAAGTGGGGGGGGTGAGACAGAGTGGGGGGTAGAACAGGCAGATTGACAAAGTACACTGCTGCGGGGAGCAGCGGGCAGGTCAGGAGAGGTCTGCCACACTATGTGGGTCACCTCCCGGGCCGGGAATCGATCTCGTGCTGCAGTGACTATAGTAGCATGATAGTGCTGTGCTTTAACCCGTTATGCCACCAGGGAGGGCCCCACAACATTGTTTAAAGAACTAATTCATGCACTAATTTTCAGTATTTATTTCCTCCAAGGTGTTCTTATTGATGCTATGAGAAAGGGCTACTGGATTATTTTAGATGAATTAAATCTGGCTCCTACTGATGTATTAGAGGCTCTGAACAGGCTGTTAGATGATAACCGTGAATTGCTCATAACAGAAACTCAAGAGGTTGTTAAAGCACACCCTCGGTTCATGCTGTTTGCTACCCAAAATCCTCCTGGACTTTATGGAGGCAGAAAGGTATGTGACATTTGCCCCCTTCCGTTTGTTACCTCAATGAATAACAAAACTTTGTTGGAAAGACTGAGATGGTTTTTACCTCCTTTGAAGGATTTCTCTTTTGGTAGTGAATGACAGAGCCTATACTGTGAAAGTTAACTAAAGAGGCCCTTTACCTGCATTTTCTAGGTGCTTTCCAGAGCCTTCAGGAATCGGTTTGTGGAATTACACTTTGATGAATTGCCTAGCTCTGAGCTGGAAACAATTTTACACAAACGGTGTAGTTTGCCACCCTCTTATTGCAGCAAGTTAGTTAAAGTCATGCTGGATCTTCAGGTATTTCATCTCGCCAGCATTTAGTTTCAAATGAACTGTGTGGATTATGTTTGTGATCAAATCTTGATAGATTCTTTGGATAGAAAAATAGCAGTTCATTCTTTTTGTTTGTTTTTAAAGAGTAAGGGTCTTATTCTTATATGCATTCTTTAATGTAAAGAGACTAATCATTTTAAAGATGATTACTTTTTGGTTTGGTTTTGTAACCAGTAATACATGAAACCTTTTCTACATTTTGTATGACGACAGTTTCCTATTTGTAGGTACTTTTCAAACATTGTGGTTAGGCTGGGAAGTGCATTTTTTGTTTTTCAAGTGGCTATCTTTAAATAACTGAGGAGGTCCTTTCTATGCGACTTTCTCCCAAGAACATTTTCATTTATGGCACTAAAAGTGTCCTTGATCATAAAATATACATCATTATATTACTATTCAGAAAGCTAGTAATAACTAACAGTTTTCCATTATGTTCTACATTATGGGACCAAGCTGCCTACATATTTGCCATCATTACTGTTATTACTTACAATCTTTTTCTATATTGCTTATGGGTTATGGAATGCCATTTATATTGTTATACATAAGTTTTGGTGTCTTCAATGATTAGTCTGTTTATATTTAAAAATTAACTTTATCCATGGGATTGAAATTATTTTAATGGGAGCTTAACTTTGTTAGGAATTTTCTGTAAGTTGTACTGTATAAAAGCTTACTCCCTGCTTTGATATTGCAATAGTCCCATCGCAGGAGTTCTTCAGTGTTCGCTGGAAAGCAGGGCTTCATCACCCTTCGTGATCTGTTTCGATGGGCTGAAAGGTATAGATGGGCTGAGCAGACTGAGAAGGAGTATGATTGGCTACAGCATTTAGCCAATGATGGTATGTTTTGTGGTTTTGCTTTTTTTTTTTTTTTTTTTTTTTTTTAATTTTTTTGTGCATACAGAACTGGGGTACAGGGCAGAGGTGCAGGGGCGGTGAGAGGATTCACCGCCAGAGACAGAGTGGGGAATAAAACAGACAGATCGACGAAGTACACTGCTGAGGGGACCAGCAGGCAGGTCAGGAGTGGTCTGCCGCACCATGTGGTCCCCTCCGGGGCAGGTGGGGATTGAACTCATGTGGAAGTGTCTTTCAATTCTTAGAGCTGTGCTTTAACCTGCTGCACCATGAGGGGGAACCCTGATGGTATGTTTTCAATCAAATGCTCTCTAACTGAAATTTTGTCAGATATCAAACTTTAGTTAAAATCTACTACGTTTTCCAAATTGTGATCAATATGTACATCTTAGCAGCTATTCTAGAAATAGGCTTTCTCCCTCAAGTCTGTAGGCCTCTGCCAACTTGAAAGGTGTCAGTCATTAATGAGATAATTAGTAAATGAGAACTAATTCGGGAAAATTTTATTTTCTGTTCTTACAGGTAAAGACTAGAAGGACATTATTTTTTAGAAACTTGGTTGTTGAGATATACAATAGAATGGTTGAAATGCTTTATTATTTTATATGCAGCTTGCCAAGTTTCTACATATATGTGTACACACACACACACACACACACACTCTCTCTCTCTCTCTCTCTCTCTCTCTCTCTTAAATCACCACCCAGGACCAAGGTCTAGAATATTAGTATATCAGAAGATTCCTTCATGCCTCTGGCCACTTTTTCCTCCCCTAATAGTAACCAGTGCTTGACTTCTTCTATCAATGACTGATTTGGCTTGTGCTTGAGCTTCATCCTAACAGGAACATGCAGTTACTATTTAGGTCTGGCTTTTCATTCAACCTGTTGGGAGATTTAGTCACACTGATAGGTGATTCAGACTTAACTTTTTTCTTTGTTGTTATACTGTTGCCCATTTTATGGCTATACCATTTTATGAATATACTTGTTGGTGGACATTTGGAAAGCAGAAAAAAGTGGGATTTACTGAGATACACTGCTAACAGAAACAGCAGGTGGTAAAGTGAAAATGCCTGCCAACCAAGTTATGGTGGGACACTTGAGGTAGCCAAGCCAAACCTCTTTGGTTGTTGTCCACAAGCCAAACGGTCTATGTACTAGGGGTTTCAGAGGCAGAAAAGGCTGTTCTCCACCCCATTGGGCCACCGTTGGGCCACAGCAGTTTTTAAGGTTGTGTAATGGTGTATCCCAACCAGATACCTTCAGTTGTTCTGAGGGTTCTTTGCTCTCTAGCAAAAAAGATCGAAGAAATAGGAAAGATCCCTGTACCCTACTCCCCATATTTTGTCGCCCTTGATCCACCAAATGTTTTTTGCGTATAGGTGGGACACATGGGTATGGAAGAGTTTACCAGAGACAGAGTGGAGAACAGAAAAGGGCTATTTATTGAAGCAAACTGAGAGGAACAGTGGAGAAGATGGGAGAGGTTGTCTGCTGGTTTGTTTCTACTTATGAATAAAGCTGCTTATCGGGCTCCTGTATGCGTCTTTGGGAACACATGTGTTCCCTTAAGTTGCAGTATACCTAGAAATCATATTGATGGTGCTTATAGATGTAGTAGTTTCTCCCAGCTTTCCAAAGTACTTCAGATTTCCTCTCTACTAATAGCATGTAAGAGTTGCTTTCACACTATAGTCTCAACATCCCTCGGTACTACTGTTACAGGCCAGGGAGAGAGGGGCACCAGTGAACCCCCAGAATTAGTTTACAATACAGAAGACAAAGAATATAAGTTCTAAATCAAACTCCTGAAGTTACCCATCCCCTTGTGGGTAAAAGTCAACCCAAAAGGGATTGGTCCAAAGCAAGACCTGAAAACCTGCCACAAGATTAAAGTACCTTCTGGCTGAGACCCATAGAAAAGGGTGACTCATGGCCAGACTAGTCTGGGAGGAAAAGAACAAAATCAAAATTAAGATAAAAGCTGCCATAGTGAACCTCGCCACAGGTGCTCTCACCCACATCTGTTTTAACCAGCACAGGGCCAAGGAACAAGCATGGTTTCTTCATCACATGCTCTTTGCTCCATGCAGCTTCCTCAGGTCTCCTTCTGGCTCTCCATCCTGCTGCCTTCTCCCTTCAGACTCCTTTTCTTTGCTCAGCTCCACCCTCCTTCTGAGTGGGGCAGAGAACCTGGAATTTCCCCTTTTCCTGGGGACTACCCTGTTACACTACCACTCTACACATAATATCTTATTTTGTAAGTTTTTATTCATGCAAGAAAAGGGGTACAGGCCTGAGGTGCAGGCGGTAAGAGGATTCACCAGAGACAG